GTGCCTCTTATTTGTATTTTGAGTTTTATAGTTGTTTTAGCGTTGAGTTTTATTAGTTTTCTAGTTATTTGCCTTGGTAGTTAATTAATCCATTATGCCCAGATACGAGTATACGCTAAGCGAGTACACATATATTAATCTCATTTGCATTTGCGTCGCTACAGAAGCTGCTCGTTACAATACTATGTATCTTGAATGTAAATTTATGCTTCAACATCAATTCCGTCAATTTTTTGTAATCAAGCCATAAATTGTTATTTTCTGGTATCTACAAAAACTGACCCCCCCTCCTTTATAACTGCGATAAAACGATGCCTAGCAGATGCCTAATAAAAATAATACCATTTAAAAATTGCCAATAGTTGGCCAACTTGTTCGATTAATTTGACATCCTATATATGTGGTTTGATTCGGCCAGACAATGGAGTCTTTAGAGGATAGTACTTCAGCTTGCATCTTTTGAGGCTTAAGGACTTATTGTGTAGCCTCATTTAGCATACATTTAATATCACATTCGGATCGTTATTTTGAGAAAAATGGAAGAGGTTTTATTAAAACATGGTCTTTCATACAGCTAAAAATTTTTAAAAATCTAAAATTGTTATATTGAATGTTATTCAAGAATACTTTATTTTAATTCATTCTGAAACACGGAACATAAGAAATTAGATGTTGATAGTTCCATTTATAATAGCAGTCGTATATTTTTGAGCCAACACATATCGCAGACTACACCTGTGCCTATACCATAGAGTCGGCTGATCTTATATTCAGCAGCAAACATGTTTAATAACAATGCAGGTGTATTAGAGCCATTAGTAGCACAAAATAAAACTAAACAAATTTGGCAGTACCAGTCAATAAAAATAACTAAAACTTTTTTAAAAACAAGTTTACTTATAACGAACAAAATATTGAGCAATGAACCAAAACGATGATATACAGGGTGACTTTGAAGTTGAGTCATTAATTTTCAGATAATGATTGTAGAAGGAAGATAAACCAAAATATGTGTGTAAAAATAAAAAAAAATTTTACCTTGTTTTATAAAGTATCCTCCCAACAAGTATTTCAGTGCGGACCTGTATTTGATCGTGAGGTGCCCTGTGAGGTCTTAAGTCACCTGATTCACGAGCCCGTTGTACTACATTAACAAAGGCACGAGGGGTTGGTTGCACTCGATTGGGAAACCGATCCGCATAAACATGTGCCATTTTTTATTTCGTTTGAGCCACGCAACAGACACTATTCACACGCGACTGACACTGACAGTATGTATAACTGAACTGAATGAAATAAAAACATCGTTCCAAATTCTTTCGCTTTTTTGTTTCCCATGCGATGAACCGATAAGGTGGATTATATCCGTTGTTGCCAAACACGAGTACATAATATTATTATTGAGACAGGGCGGTACTCAAACTTCCAAAGGGCTATAACTTTGTTACTTTAATTTTACCAGAAAAATGGTAAAGGAAAAAAACATTTCTTTTGATCAGATCTACTCACTGTTAAAATAAATGACTCAACTTCGAAGTCACCCTGTATATATATTGCCATCAAATCTTGCAATTTTGTAAAAACTATGAATAAAAGTTATGGTAACAAACACTCCAGCTTCGTAAATGGGTTTGCCTTGTTGAATAATTTGTATAAGTACATATATATATATATATATATATATATATATATATAATTCTTTTGTTGCCTCAGATACACTTTTAATTGTCGATGAGCTGTCTCTCGTAATTCCAGTTGCTTGCTGAACCAGTTTCCAGGATATTTTAACATGTTGCGCATTTTCGTGATCGATGTTTGTATTTACGAGAAAATCTATTCCATGTGATAGTGACATTTCTAACTACTTAGTAGTTTTTCTTCTCGTGACGTCCTTTAATTTGGATTAAAATAAATGTAGTAAAATTTTATAACACTACTACTATTAGCGCAACTCGAGCTGTAAATAATTAGTTTAGACGCCTGCTGAAAACATTTTAAATATGTAAGTATTTATCTTGTAAGGTATTTAAGCCTATTATAAAAATCAGGAGAAAATTAGAAAATATGAAATTCATTTTTATTTTTAAAGGTCGTGGGAAACAAACAGTAACCACGACAAGGTGCACACAATTTCTAATAATTCTATAATAATTTAAGAATTTGCTGGAAATAAATTTTGACTGGTTAATGTTAAAAATAAATATTGGAAAATGACGAAACTGGAAATTGCGCATAAGCGATATCTCGATTAACACCTTGTATCATATTTTAGCGATAAGTTAAACAAATTGGCGTTCATAAATATTAACTTTTCTGTGTAGGTATTTATACTAGTTCAGCAAATAGGTATTGAGATTAGATTGTAAACAGTAGGAATCTCCATAAACATATAGGCGACACAAACTAAATGTTAAATAGGTTGACTCATATTTTTTATATATGCATAACACAATAAGATTTTATTTTCTACCAAATCCAAGGTTGGCTATTTAATTTATGGATCCTTTAACACTCGTTGATTGAATTCTGCACAAACTAGTTGATTTCATATGAAAACTATTAACCTAGCAAAAAACACTGCACATTTGTTGGTCTGAAAGGTCACACGTATTGACCGAGTGAAGTTTCGATTCCATTTGAGTCTTTTGAATGTGGTATCGACTTGACCCATTTTTTTGTTCCACGCCTACTGGCGAGGAAGCTTTGTAATCGTGAAAAATTTCGAAAATGAGATATTATGATCCAATGCTTTGTACTTTTTAAAAATCGCTCAGTATGTTCTAAGGCTTTGTACTTTTTAAAAATCCAGTGGCGGCGGAACCAGGGACAAAATTACGAAAAAATACAAATCGCTCAAACTCCGTTTTTTGACGTTTCACAGATTCCTGATCATATCGAGAAAATTTTTTGTATGAGTTGGAAATCGGGAGTTGGGTTGTAGGGGGTGAGAGGGATAATATTCCTTTTGTCGGCGGCGATTTATTTATCCGCTTTCAACCCCTATCAGTACATATCGCTTTAAAGATTTCCCGGTACATTTGCTTTATAGCTATTTATAGACGAGACACGCGGTATGCAACGGCGACTTTCATACCCCGAACCTTGTCTTGCGTCTGACAGCATCGCCGGCAGGGATGTTATGGTATCGTAGCTTGACTGGTGCGGTCCAGCAACGATGCTAGATTTTCGATACTTATGGCGGGGAAGAAACTAGCGTTTGTCTTATCAAATGGATGGAAACTATGGAGTATGTACTAATTTTATATGGGCCTGTTTGGCTAAATGGACCAATGTCATTTTTTTGTTATACATGTTTGTAGCTAGCTCAAAGGTACTAGCTGGTGACGAATATAATCCGTTATGAACTGGTGACAGCGTTTCGTGAGGAGTGCAGGGTCAAGCTACTTGACGTGTTTTTTCTGAGGGCTGTTTTGAGGGTTCCACTATTTTTTTTGCAGCTACTACCACAACAGATCACTTCACGTTATTGTAAACAAAAATAAAAAATAGTGGAAATTATATTCAATTTCAATTGCTTTGGTTTTTTTTAATCATTGTTCATATGGCGTTAAGTTTGGAAATAAATCGACCATAATCTAAACGGAATAGCGTGTGAAGTACTGAATGAATCTACGTGACGCCAGTCTTTTATGTGCTTCGAAAAAGGCAGACAGTGGAAACGTCAGTAATTTTTTCAACATAATATGGTTTTATTTATTGTCCAGTGCAAAGAAAAATACATTTAATTGACGTTCACACACATTAAATAAAAACGGCCGATTTGGATTGCAATTACAGGTTAAAAAACCCTCAGTTTTCTGAAATTTTTGGCAGCACCCATATATCTTTTCTTTAAAGCTGAAACACTTTTCTTGCTGGATTTATATATATATATATATATATACAGGGTGACTTTGAAGTTGAGTCATTAATTTTCAGATAATGATTGTAGAAGGAAGATAAACCAGAATATGTGTGTAAAAATAAAAAAAATTAAAAAAAAAATTTTACCTTGTTTTATAAAGTATCCTCCCGACAAGTATTTCAGTGCGGACCTGTATTTGATCGTGAGGTCCCCTGTGAGGTCTTATTCACACGCTAACCGACAGACACTGAGTGTATGTATAACTGAACTGAATAAAATACTTAATTGCAAAAACGTTCCAAATTCTTTCGCTTTTTTGTTTCCGATGCGATGAACTGGTAAGGCGGATTATATCCGTTGTTGCCAAACACGAGTACATGATATTATTATTGAGACAGGGCGGTACTCAAACTTCCAAAGGGCTATAACTTTGTTACTTTAATTTTACCAGAAAAATGGTAAAGGAAAAAAACATTTTTCTGGTAAAATTAAATTAACAAAGTTATAGCCGTTTAGAAGTTTTGAGCAACGCCCTGTCTCAATAATAATGTAATATGCTCGTGTTTGGCGACAACGGATATAATCCGCCTGACCGGTTCATCGCATCGGAAACAAAAAAGCGAAAGAATTTGAAACGTTTATCACGATGTTTTTCGTCAGTCAGTAACGCGTAGTGGTGTTGGTTGCGTGGCTCAAACGAAATAAAAAGTGGCACATGTTTACGAAAATGCTGAACTTGTGGACATGATTCTTATTTACGGGGAGTCTTTACAAAATGCTGCCGCGGGATCACGGATTTGTGCGAATCGGTTCCCCAATCGAGTGCAACCAACCCCTCGTGCCTTTGTTAATGTAGTACAAAGGGCTCGTGAATCAGGTGACTTAAGACCTGCCGGTTCTCCAAGACCGCACGATCAAATACAGGTCCGCACTGAAATACTTGTCGGGAGGATACTTTATAAAACAAGGTAACATTTTTTTTTAATTTTTTTTAATTTTTACACACATATTTTGGTTTATCTTCCTTCTAAAATCATGATCTGAAAATTAATGACTCAACTTCAAAGTCACCCTGTATATATATATACCTTTGACCATTTATGAACAAACAAAATTGTCCGACCTACCGACAGAAAACATATTGAGCATTGTGACAAACCTAAACGTCAAGCACAGCCTTCCATTAGAATTTTGTTGTTGATGTTGTTCACACAGACTTAAAAGTCAAGCTCAGCCTGGCAAATTCAAATATGTTGATCTGCCAGTGGTAACATTTCCCAAGACAAAATATGGAATATTGAGGTGGGCAATAATCCCTCATACCCCTTTAGATCCCCTTATTGGACACACTACAAAAATAATAAAGAAGTAATATATACTCTAATATAGTATTTGCGCAGTATTTTTGAACTGAAGTGTAGACATTTCATTGAATGGTATATTTATGCACATAATAGTTATTAGTATTTACATACTACATAGATTTTATATCATTCGATATAAGACGATTGCAGCATATGGACTTAGACACCCACTGCAGTATTATCATAATAGGAGATGTTATATAAACCTCAATAACAATATCGAAAATTGTTTTGATTGTAAAGAAGATAAATTATAAGGACTGTTACAACCATGTAAACGCAGTAGTCAGAGTATAGTCTGCACTGGATTTCCCACGATAATCGAGTTATATCCACTGGATTTCCAAGAAATATCAGCTTATGCAGGTTTGAAATCTAGACATGTAAAATAATGTAGTTTAACTTGAGCTGTTTTTATAAGTGACAACTATTTTCTGAGCTAAAGGTAAGAGATTTTAACTCTAGGTCCAATGAATACATTTAATTTATATTATATGTGTGAACAATGTAATGTGACTTGTAACACCCGAGATGCTAATTTAAAATACTTTTGTTTGAATTTCGGAATTCTTGATAAATCTAGACATACAAGGAAGTTTGAGAATTTCTAGATTTTTTTACTTCCAACGTCTTCGGCATGTTCAGGGTTCTCCCCAAGCAGAGCCAATATGTATTACATAAGAAATTACTTGGATTGTTCAAATCTACGTTGAATGTTAACTCAACTTTGAAAGCACTCTGGGTATTTCAAATTCGGAAACAGTAAGAAAGATAATAAAAAATTGGTCTATGAAGCCAAAGTTGGTCATTTAGGTAACTATTAAAATGTTACTTAGATAGTCTGGCAATTTAGGGTATTTTCGGAGAGAGAGACGAAAAATACGAATTTACCCTGAACCGTTTTCATTTTCTGTTGGCTTAATTTGAGCTTCAAGTTCAATATAAATAGCATCAACAGCGGCATTTTTTACAAATTTTGTGCAAGTAACTGTTGGTATGTTAGTTCTTACGAATGCTTGTGTGCAAAACTGAATTTTGAACCAATAAACCTAAACCGATTGAGCTCAAATTTTTGTATACCTGTCTGGTTCGTATGGCAGTACATAATGAATTAACCGCCGCCATTTTGAATCTAATATGGCGTTTGCTACTTAATGGCGATTTATAATTTCCATAGTCATCCCTATAATATGGACATCAGATGAAAGGACGTGAGAGAAACAACAAGCAAAATGTAATTTCAAATCAAATCTGTCGACCGCCGTTTATAATTTATATAGTTACCCCTATGATATGTTTATCGACTGAAAGGACTTGAGGAGATAGACATACAGTAAGCAACGTATCGTCATTCTAGATCCAATATGGCGGCGGTCGCAAAATATCGATTCATAATTTCCATAGTCACCTCCACATTATGGATATCAAATGAAAGGCATCGATGAAAGGAACACAATAAGCAAAGTGACGTCATTCTAAACCAATATGGCGGATGTTTAATATGACAATTGACAATGCAATATTATTATGACATGGAGATGATCTGGTGATGGAGCCGGGAAGAAACTGATGACATTGTTTTTCAGTCACATCATCAAACAATCCGACGAAAAATATTAAGAATACCTTTCCAGACAGACTGTTCAAAAAAGGGACATGCGACGTTTATATACATAGATTCAAAATACTGTGATATTTTACACCCTTTTGATAGTTAAAATTTGACTCTGTAATAATAATCGAAAACAAAAACATACTAACTTACCTACTTTGCTTATACATTATTTTTGTTCATATATTATGTATTTGTAGTTTTTTTTTTATTTTTCAGATGGTTCCATGGACACCTATCGGGCAAAGAGGCTGAAAAGTTGATCTTAGACCGAGGAAAGAATGGAAGTTTTTTAGTGAGAGAAAGCCAGTCAAAACCCGGTGATTTCGTTTTATCTGTCAGAACGGATGACAAAGTTACCCATGTGATGATCAGGTGTACACCAGTGAGTATATACATATAATGCATTCTATTTTACAATAAACAGAAAATACTTCAGTTTTTATTATTATTGGCAATTTTGAATTGCTTATTTGTCATTATTCAATTAGATTGGCATTTCTAAAATTCTATTCAAATCTCAAAATCTAAATTGATATTAGGTGAGATGAGCACAACCTCAAACTATTTGACGCCACTTTGATTTCACATTCAGTCATATTCGGTTCGCTAAATATTTAATGATTAATATTATAAATTAATCTTATCTAATCGAAAACTTTTCTTAGTTGTACAAAAAATACACCAGTCACATAATATGCTTGCAGTAGAAAATACCTTAGACAAACATATGAAAATAAATTCTGATTTATCTTTTTTTCAAGGACAACAAGTATGATGTGGGAGGAGGTGAGCAGTTCAACAGTTTAGCAGAACTAATAGAACATTATAAAAAGAATCCCATGGTGGAAACGTCTGGCACAGTTGTTCACCTGAAGCAACCGTTCAATGCGACAAGAATAAGTGCTTCAGGGATACATAACAGGGTGAAACAGTTACAGGTATGCTATGATGTGACTAGCGATCCATCAAGTCATGTATCTTTGTATTTTCATAAACATCTGGACTTGACAATAAAATTACTTGAAATATTACTGCTTGACTTGACCTGTTTTTTTGTTTTTCTACTTGACTTGAGATCAGGCATTTCCAAAATACTTGGTTATTTATGGCAAATTATATTTTTGATCTATTAAAGACCTTCAGTGATAACCCCTACAACTGATGAGCCATGTTATTATAATGCAATCTGCCATCCCAAATGATGCCTTGAAACAGCGTTGCCAAACAAAAAAAAAAAACCCAATCGGTAGATAGTGTCGTTGAATTTCGGTAGAACAAAATCGGTAGGAAGAAAAACCCGATCCGGTGTAAGATCAGCGACGGATCAAGGGCTTTTGGGCCACGTAGCGCCATCTATTAAAATTAAACTTCTTAAAAAAACAACCCAACAATTAATTACACATGTTTTTTACAAGAACATATCCATACATCTTTAGTTATCATATGATATATACATATTATGTGGTATCACAAGCACATCTTAAAAATGCTTATTATATATGAGTGTAGTTCAAAATCTGGTACAGTTATTACTTCCATTATTTTTAATTTTATCACCATTATAAATCCGTTAGAACCCTCAAGTGTCTAAACCCGTGGTTAGCAAATTAAAAGCTAATTTAGAATTTTTATTTTGTTTATATCACCGGATGAAGAAATGTTCTATCAACTTGGGTTTACCGTTTTACCGTTCTATCATTTGTTATACGATGAACAAATTATTTTGTTTAATATGTATTGTTTTCTCTGAAACTTATTGCAAATATAGTCTGTTAGTTGTGTATTTATAACATACTCATATTTATATTACAAAAATTATTTGAATTTTGAAGTACCTGACGTAAAATTTACTTGTCTTGATATCAGATTGTTAATATCTAGTACTTGACTTGGGCTTGGCTTTATTTCAAGTCAAGTAGCTTGAAGATCAGCTCAAGTAGTGAATAACTAGACGTGACTGTAAGGACAGCTTTTACATATTGACCATACCGAAGTCGTTTTTTGAGGAAATAGATGTAATGAATATAGTCGATTTCTTCTAAAACATGTCTCAAACTAGCGCAGACTTATAAAATTTCATTAAAACATCCGCCTACTGGCGGGGAAATATTGTAATAGCTAGAATTTTCAAAAATGAGATTTTTTTTGACGTTATATGACATGAAAATCACGAAAAACCATGTCACTCATTTCCATTCGTCTGTATGCTATTCTTATATCTGCTTATAACTTGAGAAGTACCGCTCGGATTTCAGCAGCATGTTACTACTATGCCAAGGACGCTAAAGCATTGTAGTTTTTGAAAATCGATCCAGTGGCGGCGGAAAAAAAGGCCAAAACAAAAAAAAATAAAAATCGCCCAAACTTTATTTCTTGACGTTTCAGACGACCCTGGCCATTTTCGGAAATTTTTTCGTAGGGATTAAAAATTTGGGGTTAGAGGTCGCAGGGGGTGGAGGAGGGTATATATGTCAATTTTTTGACGTTGGCATATTTATACGCCTCCAACCCCATTCTATGCGCATATTAGGCATGTTTCACTCATCATAGGTGTCCCCACACATTTACCCTTAAAACAGAAATATATCCTACAGTCAGATGTCGATTCGTGCGACGTGGTCCCCGGGATGGACAAGCGTTGTCGTTGGTAGTCGTACGTAACAGGCAATCGCTTCCGCACTGCTGTAGTGCTGTGGGCAGGGGTAGGGAGGTTATTTAATTTTTTGTTATACATGTTCGTAGCTAACCTTTTTCTCAGGAGGGCTAACGCCAAACATAATCCTTTACGAACTGACGACATCGTAGCGTGGGAAGTGTCAACATACTTGACGCCACTTTTTCCTAAATCTAAGTCTCATGTAAGTAGTGACACTTAGTCTCAAGAATATGCTCAGTAATTGCTGTGATATCAATCTAGATATTGTATCTTATTTGATACATGGTTCGAGCAGGGCGCACGTCCTTTTTAATTGATCAAATTTGCGACTAGGGATGAAAATAAAATAATAGGTTTTTGTAGCTCAACCAGGTAATTAATAAAATATTTCTTGAATTAATATGAGAATTATGGGCCCATCTTACACAAATAGTATGATGTTTCCTCAATTTAAGACATATTTTACAAGAAATCAACTATATTCGTTAGATCCATTACTTCAAAAACGCTCCCTGATTAGTCTATTTTGCGCCCCAGATAATAAAATTGAAGTGTGATATTTACTTATTTACGTAAAACCAATAAACACTTATCCTACAACTGAAAATATCGTAAAAACATCTGAGGTCTACTTGCAGAGTGAAAATGGGCCCAGCGGATTTGGTAAAGCAGGATTTTGGGAGGAATTCGAGAGTTTACAACAACAGGAATGCAAACACCTCTATCAAAGAAAAGAAGGAATTAAGCCAGAAAATCGCAATAAGAATAGATATAAGAACATATTGCCATGTGAGTAGTAATCTTTGAACATTTTGATACAATCTGGTCACACGTCACAAAAATATTATTAGACATGTACATATGTACTTATCTTTTGATTGGTTCAAGCTAGCAAGCAAATATTTGAGATGATGACTGTTGAAAATGTCACGATGATTGCAAAATCTGTTGCATTTTTGAATAATGTATATAATTTTACATGGATCTGAAAACATTTATGTGACTACTAATTTGGGGGAAAATTTGATTTGAATATTTGAGCTTGAATCCGCATAACAAACCGCAACCGGTTTTACCTTGAAAATACAAGTTAGTGAAGCTTGATAATACTGCCTTCTTGCGTCCGACCGGATACCAACCACGTACTGCTGCACGGTCTAGGCTAGGTCCCTAGGTAGAACACTTCACGAAATTCTATCAGAGTATCCTCTATCGGCCTATCAGAGGTATAAGGTGTGTCTTTGATATTGAAAATTGTATGTATTATTTAGTCTCATCAAAGGCGTAGAAATTTACCTCTCTCACCATTGGGATCTCGAAAACGGTAAGAGATACGAAGTTGGGACAAAGTTACCCATTTACGTGACAAAGTAAATGGAATTCAGAAAGTTTCGCAATGCCGAACATATGCAAATGTTAATTTTGTATCAAAAGTTATACCTAAATCCTTAACTGTAGCAGTTTTCAGGAGGTCAAGGTTTTCTACTTTGTATTCATACATGAGATAAATTGAACTATGGCTGAAGCTTATCTGGTAGCATTTATTCAAATTGATGTTGATCTTATTAGTACTACACCACCGAATAAGATTTCTACATAGAGCCTGCAACATCGTTAACACATAAATTGGATAAAACTGAACCAATGTAGGAGCCTTCGGGCACAACTGAAAAGAGATTGATGGGATTAGATAATTATCCTACGTATCTGACACACTATGCTCGTGCTGACTGGTAACTTCTAAACTTGAATAGTTAGCTGCTTGATACTCTCAAAATTTAGTCAAAATTTAGTCAAAAGTAGATAGTGATTTACTCTGATGAAAGCTTTTGTATAATCCGTGTAGATGGAATCTACTTGAAGCTTGTTTTAAAAAGCATTGATTATGAATATCTCATAGATTATTAAGTTTATAGTTGATCTTCCTTGGTGAAACCATGCTGTTGGTCATTACTTAAATTTCGAGTGTCCAATGACAGTTTCTTTGACACTAGGTAATCTAAAACCTTGGGAATCTTTTCATATTCTATGGATTATAAACTAAATGACATAGAAAATGCAATACCGACTAGGAGTGCTGTAATTTTGAGCATACTATTACAAGTTTTAGGTCTACTGATAAATAGAAAGCGATAAAAATTCTAACTCGAAATTTCGCAAAATAGCTGAGATATCCCTCTTTAATGTTAATAATGTGTTGAAGTTCCTTTGTTCGCCGCATTGATTGGATTAGGTGATTGATGTCTTCTTGATGTATTGTATCCCAGGCCATCTGAATTTGGTTTCGTAGAGCCTCCAATGTTTGTAGAGGGTGCGGTGAGTTTTGCAACCTTCTTCCCATCATGTCCCATACATGTTCGATGAAGCAGATTTATTCTGGACGCTTCCGAAAAGTCTAAACTAACACTTGCGACACGAGGTCGTGCTGAAAAAGTGGATCTTGCAAGGTTTCCAAAAAGAGAAACAGATGTGGTTGTAAAACTTCCTGGAATTAACGCTGGGCAGTCATGCTACCTCGAATGAGCACTAATCGTGACCTGCTGCCGTAAGCAATGGCACCCCTTACCATAACACCCACAGTGCGATGAATATGCCGTTGATGGAATATTGGTCCACCACGTCTCCTTACCCTTGCATGGCTATCATGTGTGCCCAAATAGAATCTGTCATCGCTGAACATGATTGAGTTCCATTCCATATTCCATTCAAGTCTCTTCCTACTCCATACCAATCGTTGCCGACGATGGTATGGGGCCAGAGGTAGTACAAGATGGGGACGGTATGAAAACAGTCCAAAAGACCTTATTCGGCGATAAACTGTCCTCATTATTATTGCCCTTCCGACAGCATCAAACCACTGGTTCTCAACTGACTTGACGTCCAGTACCTCTAACTCGTCGATTTCGGCCTTCTTGGAACCATGCTCGACAACATCTCATTACAGAAGTTTCGTTACTCTCAAACTCGGAAAGTTGAGTGAAATTAGCGCGTCTGCGAACTCTAGGCATGATAATGCAATGGAACGACAATGAAACAAATGGAACCAATATAGAAAAATCACTGAATATTGAGTAAACATGTTCGTATTGTTCGGCACGGGTATTATGTAAAAAACCTATAAACCGTCAAAAAAAAAACAATAAAATGTCATTTTGCAGACTAGGTATTTTTTAGAATACAAATAGTTCATTCTACGTTTGCTCGCTATGAGCGCTGTGAGCGTCCATCTATGTATCATTGTTGGATGCATATGTTTTGTGAGTGGTCCGTAGTTTCCATCTCTGAGGAGAAAGTTGGTTGAATAGCAAGATCGCATCTGGATAATTATGTGTATTGGTCTGTATGTGTATAAAATCAGTGAAAATTATTACTGAATATGCTGCCAATCAAGTATATCTATTAGCTGTGCCCGACGGGTTATTTATATGTTGTCCTTTCTGAAAACAGGTATGTTCAAAATTACGCTTTTTCTCGTTTTTTGTGTTTTCAAAAACATTGAGGAGCACTACGAAAATCTTTTTCTATTGAAATCGCAAAATAAATTTCTATAAAATTTAAATGACTGGAAATAAAAAATAATGTAATAACCTATTCACTTTCATAAATATTCCTGCCTGTAGCATATTTTCTCACCTATTCCTTCACTAACCAAGGATATTATTTTCTTATCTCTCGTTTTTGAAGTTCAGCAAATTTGCATATGTAATTTCCAGAATGGATAAGAAAAAGTGAATGCATAACTAATTTCTAGCTTTGAATCTCAAGTAAATGTATTTGAGACAAGCATCCAATGGAATAATAATCAACACATATTATTAGCCCACGGATTCTCTCTATGTATATATACATTGCCGTTTCATTCTAGCTATAGTATACAACTTACAGCTTAGACCTCCAGCAGTGCCATTTCTGAAGCAGATTTTACATCACATCAGAGCCCAACATTGATAACTGAATCATCATGACGTTTAGGCAAGACGAACAACTAAAAAAACGAGTTTATAACGTGTCTAACAGCTAGTGCTAAGTTAACATCTTGTCGAAAAACCTACATTATGACAAAAAAAACCTATACAATGTCAAAAAAAAACGACATAATGTCACTTTTCAAGATACTTAATACCCGTGCGGATCTTGATATGACAAAAAAGCCTTTATAAAAAAAGTACGGCTTTGAATGCCTTCGACATTTTATCAGCTTATACTTCCATGATAACAAACATGTTTACAAGTTTTTATCAAAATGCAATAAATAATTCATTTTATATGTCACTTAGTATACATGAAATCCTTTAAACAAAAATATAGAATTTTCCTGTTATCAGTAACGCGCTTCTGTGATTTAAATTCTGGTCCAGTGCAGACCACTGACCGTCTTACATTATTCGATCCTGGGCGTGAAGTTTAGCAATTCGAGTACATACGTTTTATTAAGTGATGTAAATATTTTTATATTTTCAGTTGACGACACCCGCGTGATACTACGTGACGGCGACTCTTCAGTTCCCGGCTCGGACTATATCAACGCCAACTACGTGAAATGGCGACCGGACGAATGTGGTGGGGGTGGCGGAGGGAGTGGGAGTGATGGTGATTCCGGAAAATGCTACATCGCCACCCAAGGATGTCTGCCATCTACCGTCGGTGATTTCTGGAGAATGGTCTGGCAGGAGAACTGCAGAGTGATCGTGATGACCACAAAGGAGACTGAACGAGGAAAAAATAAGTGCGCTAGGTATGTTTCAATGGTGTATCTCTTTATGTTGATATACGGACCTAGGGATGTAATTTTGTGTGAACAGGATTGTGTAATTCTAGGCGAAAACTTGAAACCAATCTTACAGTTATTTTACACCGAAGTCGCCACGTAGGCAGAAGCCTAGATGCCAGGGTACCGTGGCGGCTATGAGGAGCTTGAATAAATTTTATTAATCCGATTTTTGAACTGCCTAAGGTTATTAGAATTGGGAAAAGCTTCCTTATGTAGATTTTCCACAATGTCGATACCCTAGGGACCCTGTTAGGATTGAAGGCCGAAGTAGGCAGGTCTGTCTGGCAGGCATATAGCGCGGAGGCATCTTGAAGGAGAGCTCTAAGCAGCAAAGCTCCATTGGTGTACCGGTAGAAGAGAGCTAGATCGCCAACTGCCCGCCGCGAAATAGTCCCGAGACTTTCCGTTAGAGAGCAGATATCGATCAGTCGAACAGCCCTCTGAACAGCATCGAGAATGCATAATGTAGTCGGGGAGGTAGCACCCCTGTGAGCAGTACTCGAGGCTTATCTGGGCCTTGTACAGAGTGAGGAGATCATGTGGAGAAAACTATTTTGTAGCCCTAAACAAATAGCCTAGCCTTTCGTTCGTGTCTGATCAAGTCCTCGATGATCTGGACTCCGACCAGTTTTCAAAATTTTCAAAGCAGTCCATTCCGATATACCTAGTGGACTATACGCTAAGCCACAGTTCATTTTACTATTAGGGAACTTGGGAGTACCGTGTATTTGTATGTGTTTTCAAAATATCATAATCGTCACAGTTTCCGAGCATTTCTCAGTAAAAACACTGTGGCAGCGGCATTCCTATAACTAATTCCACTTGCGTATCAAAACTCGAATATTGATTTCAGCATTGTACGAGTATATGAAAATGGATGCGGGTAGGTATATATTTTGCAGTGTTGACTGCTAAGATCCCTCGATTCGTAAGAAGATTAAAACTGCACATGTTTAAGTTAGTAAAAAAATCAGTCTATCCAAGATGGTGACAATTTGTGCCCAACATTTTCACTCGTATCTAATAAAATTATACGAAATGAAAGAACTTTTTGATATTGCTCAAACACAGAAAATTCTAAAATCTTTTGTTGTTTTCCACCTTAAAGTATAATATTCAAATGTTATTTTCCCATTTTTAGGTACTGGCCTGACTTGAACTCATCAAAAGAATATGACAAAATAAAAGTGAAAAATCTTATAGAATCATCTACACCACATTATACGTTAAGAGAATTTTTAGTTATTAAGGAAGGAAGCACGAATGAGCGAAAAGTCTACCACTATCATTTTCAGGTTAGTATTATTTACATGGGCATATACAGGGGGGCAACGGGAGGCAGTTTCCCCTTCTCCCAAGCTCGAGAAAAGTCAGTGAGGGGACATAATTTTTTCCCCAAGCTGAATCAATATCCATTACATGATAACTTACTAGGATTAGATGTTTGTGTTTCCGGAAAAAGCCGAATTTACCCTAAAAAATAGTTTTCATTTCTTCCTAGCTTTTGAAATGAGTGACATGGTTTTTCGTGATCTAGATCGTATAACAGCCAAAAAACATAATATCTCATTTTCGAAATTTATTGCAGCCAGTGGCGTAGGAAGTAAAAGGCCACCAGTCCCAAATAGTTGATAACTATAAGCCATTTGTAGAAATCATTTTTCGTGAATTTTTTTCCGATGCTTCTGTACAGTTTCTTCTACTGCAGGGTTCATTTTTGCCTAATTATCCCTGATAAAATAAGTTTTGTGATGTTTCCAGATAACATAAAGCATTGCAGTAGCGAAGATTCCAGATTTTTCAACGCCATTGCTGACATAATGAGATTTTTAAAAAAGGGAGTCATAGGTTGACACAGTACTTCTCACACATGTTATATTATATATTAGAATTATTGCTGTTGTGTTTGAGGTTACACAAAAATAGCAGTTGATTAGAATTAGAAATAAAATTTTTGTACCCTTAATAAAACTCTTGTCTACATTTCAAAGCATAAGAGAGGAGGAGGGTAGTCTTGGCTGACTAGTTGAGATGCAACATAGAAATCTTGAGGTACCAGCCTCAATGCAAACAAATACCAGAAGACCAGAAAGAAAGTTTGTTCTGTGTTCATTTCAAGCTTTATAAAAAATAAATAAAAAAAGGTTTTCGAAAGCTTCACAACATGAACACTGAACAGATTTTTTTCTGGCCTTATAATATTCGATTGCGTTGCGGCTGGAACCTCAAGATTTCTATTTTAAAGCCTAAAGGCGCCAAAAAAACAAGTTTGACTTTTTTTTAAATTATTTTCTTATCTAAAGGCTGGAGGACCTATTAGCAAAAACTATAACCTTATATCAGTAACCATCCTTCAAACCTCGTTGTTTTTTGGGCAAAGGTTACTTTGCATTGCTTTCATTACTCTCATATTGAGAATACTGGTAATTGTAGGCGTGGCCGGACCACGGCGTCCCGTCGGATCCCGGTGTCGTCCTGAACTTCCTGCACGAGGTGAACAAGCGGCAAGAAACGATACATCAGGAAACACCTCTCCAACCCCCAGGCGCGATCCTTGTGCACTGCTCTGCAGGTATAGGCAGGACAGGTACCTTCATAGTGATCGATATGATTTTGGACCAGCTGAAGAGGTACGGCCTCGACTGCGAAATTGACATTCAGCGCACAATACAAATGGTGAGGTCGCAAAGGTCCGGGATGGTCCAGACGGAGGCTCAGTACAAGTTCGTCTATCTAGCCGTCCAACACCATATAGAAACTATCACTGAAAGAATGAAGGCTGAACAGGTATGTTCATGTTTATTTTTCATCGCTCATTGAAATATTAGGCATTATAAGATTCAGTGTCATCTCAACAGCAGAGTACGAGTGCATGGCATAATTCCTGTTATGATGAGGTAAGGTAGATATCCGGTTCAGTCTCAAATTAAGTGATGGAACATTGAATGAAATTTTGTCCAGGAGCTCAGGATGCAGCATCTGACGATTTAAGAGTTTACACACAAACAATAACTATTGTGAATATACCTTTGACATAGGCTCTTCAAGTTCAATGTATTCAGTGCATTATCATCATGAGGAATTCTTATATGAATCTTATAAAGACAAAACCTAAGGTATTTATTCTGCACTCTTTCAAGGGCCAGAAAGTTATTAATATAATCGGGAGACTAGGTTATTGATCCATATTCCAACAAAGACACTTCAATTGACATGTATAATTTTTTACAAGATTCTATAGACAACTCGCTACATTTACGTAACACATAACCAAGGACTGTAGAAGCCTTAAGTACAGTAATGTTTATATGTGTGTTGAAACTTAGTTGTTCAACAAAAATAATACCAAGATCTTTTATGATATTTCAATATCAAAGATTGTTTTTTGTATAGTGCAAGAAGACTCCACCTTTTTATCTCTTTTGTAAAAACTAATGTAGTTACATTTACCAATGTTTAAAGATAAATCATTATTATCACACCAGTCACTCAGCCTATTCAGGTCAGTTGTCAACAAAATCAAATCCTGCTCAGAACCATCCTACCGATAAAATTTTAAATCATCCGGGAACAACAAAAATTCACTGTTTTCATAAGCGTAATGGCGAACAAAGACTACCCTAAAGTACACCAAAGAAAGCACTGTTATAGTGAGACCTGGCACTGCCTATCCGCACCTGTTGAGGCCTATCAGAAAGAAAACTTTTAAACCAAGACTCCATAATATCATAGAAGAGGCTCAATTCGCCGGGTGGTACTTCCCCGTATGACAGTCAGAGACCGTCTACCACCTACGGACAATCACAACATCCATAGTCAAGAGAAAAATTTCTCTCGGACGGGATTCGAACCCTCGCATCTACCACTGTGGCCACTGCTGCTGCCTGAATAGGGAATACAAGAGGTGTCTCGAATATTGCCCGTACGAGTGAAACTGGGAATACTAAAAAAAACGTCAACCTTAAATTTCCTTTTTAACAGGCTACAGTTTAAATAGCTTGATGTATTTCGATATTTTAGGCGTACTTAGATTCATCCTTATAGCACAACTGAGTCTGTATTCTTGTATTCTTTTTAGTGATTATCTAGAATTAAAAAAACAGCACTTTTTGCATGGGTGACATGTTGGTGGGGGTGGTTAAAAATCTAATGAGAATTGCTGTTTGCGCTATTTGTGATTATTTGCTTTTATAATTTTGTAATGTATCTTTTTGTCATTAGAAATCGCTGCAAATGGGAAGAGAGTACACAAACATCAGGTACAGTGGCGACATCGTATCAGGTTGTATGTCACCGCCTGCCACGGCAGTCAATTTCGGAACACCCTCTCCTACTAATTCCAGGCTGAGTGTGAATTTGAGGCAACAAGACGTCACCGTCAAAAAAACACCTAGGGTTGTGTCCGAAATACCTCTTCCAAGGTGAGTGGATCCGAAATACTCTCTTTGCCCGATTTCCTCAGGAGGAGGCATATGTTTTTCGCGCTGGGATATGCATGTATGCATGTGGACAAAAAAACTATATTTCACGGGCTACAGCTTAAACAGCTTGATGAATTTTAACGTTTGAGGTGTCCTTAGATTCATCTTTATAGCACAACTAAATCTTGACTATTTTCAATTACTGTATCGGGGATGGCATTTTTTAAAAATGTTCTTGTTATGTTCCTTGGGATTACTTCTCGCCCTAAAATCCCCAGAAAAAAGAATTTGAGTTGAAAATACCCCGAAAACATTAGTGAAGTGTTTGAATCTACTCGAAATAAGGATCATAAGTTAACATCCAACAACGCGCTTTGGAGTCACTAGAACTTTAATCAATATAAGTCCTTCAAAGAAGTAACGGGCTTGGAAATATCTGAATGTTTTTGTTTTAATGAGCTGCGTTACGGATGTCATGGCGACGTAGTTTACAACTGTAGGAAAACTGTTCCTTTCGACTCTATTATATCGTGAGTGGAAGTATACGAAAACTAACTGGCATGATGGCGTTTGATTGCCGCGTCATTTATCTTATATTTCAAAGTTGAGTCATTTATTTGAACTGCCTGTAGGACTCGTCAAAAGGAGTTGATATACCAAAAATCACCTAAGATTGTATGGTTTTCAGTACGAGTCTTTGGGTCGATCAGTTGTATCAGTCTTTTAATAGTGCATATACTTTTATTTGTCTGATTATTTTAAGTTTCTCATAGTAAAGTGTGGAATACAATACAACAAGAGCAGTATTATCATTATCAACGGGTACAAGCGTTACAACCTGACGATCATCCTAGAAGAGTTGCATTTTGCCAGTGCCTTTTAGAACAGTTCGGCAGAAGATTTTACGACATTAGTTTTGTGTACAGACGAGGCCACATTTACACAAAATGGAGCGCACAATTTCCACGACAATCATGTTTGGGCAGTAGAAAACCGCATGCTGTAAAATGAACATAGATTTTCATTAAATGTTCGGGCTGGCGTGGTAAATGGCATACTTATTGGACCCTACTTTTTTCCACCCCGACTGACCGGTGAAATTTATTCAGATTTTCTCCGACACAATCTGTCTCAAGTATTAGAAGGTGTTCCTCAAATGTGATACAGAATATGTGGTTCCTACATGATAGGACTCCGCCACATTTTAGACGAGAAGTTCATGAACATCTAAATAGTGAGTTTCCGAATAGGTGGATGGGGCGCAGTGGACCAATTTCTTGGCCTGCTCGCTCCCCGGATTTAAGGCATTACGATTTTTTCTGTGGGGCTATTTGAAAGAGTTAGTGTATCATGATGGAGCAGTAAATACTCTGGAAGAACTTCAACAGCGCACTGAAAATGCTTGTGATTTAACTCGTGGACACCAGGATCTTATTTTCGAAACTGGTAAAGAGTGCTCGATTCACCGAGCAAGATTTTGCGTAAATTGAACAAATGGGCACAATTTTGAATAGTTGGTGTAAAAACAGTATCCATATAATAATAATAATTTTTAGTAATGTTAACTAACTCTCTTATTATGCAACTTTTATATAGGTCATTTTTAGTATATCAGCTTCTTTTCACGAGTTCTACAAGCTGTTAAAATAAATGACTGGACTTTGATAGTAAAGTTTGAAGGTCACTATGAGTACAGTATTTAAAAAATTGCCTTAAAAACATATATGAGTACATCTTCCAAAGAGATAGTTTATAATACAATTATTCTATCGCATTTACTATATCCCACAAAATAAATATTAAATAAAAATAAGTACACCAAAATAAAATCTATGTTACAAGAATTGCAGTGGTTGAGTATAAAAAATTTCATGTTTGGTTGCTATTTTTATATATTATATATTATTATATTTTATAATAAAGAATCTTCTACTGCCAGAATATTTATAACATTACATAGAATTGAATAATAATTACCACACTTATTATTATTCAAGAGGAAATATATATTTCCATTTACAAATCTGCAAAATATTTCAGAAGGGATTACTTGAATGTAATAAACTAAATAATGATAATAAAGTCTACTTGTAATTTAAAGATGTTTAAAAGAAAATTGAAGGAACATTTCATCGTCAGTAAAAATTCTTAGGGATCAAGTTTTGTTTTTCTGAATAGGTTATGTTATTAAATTGTAGTTGAAAGAATGTAATGGTAGCGATCATGCTAAATAAATCTTAACCAAACAAAATTAATTCGATTTATGCTTTACAAAGTCAAGTTCAACTTCACAGCTTGTAGAATATTTCCTCATACTGGGCTGGATCAACAAAGTAATTTTTTTATCTTATGTAGGTTAGGGTTCCTCAGTTCTCCAATCGTTGTCGCTTAGCCATAAAGCTTATTGTGCACTCCCAGTCACAGGTATTATGCAAAATCTCTTTCCAGGCTGGGATACTTAGGTTCATAGAGAGTCATTTAAATGTGATTTCGAATCATAATAGCCTAAAATAAATGATACTATGTCATTGTTGTAAATCAAAAAGCAGAAACATGTGATTAACAGCTTTTATGCTCTGCAAAAACAAATTTAAAAATGCTTAAAAGGAAATTAAAGGAACATTTTATGGACAGTGAAAATTCTTAGAGTTGCATGTTTTTTTTTCTAAATATTTGTATATTATATAATTGTAGTTTTTAAAAGAATGTCATTGTAGCAATTATGCTAAAACACACAAATTATAGCATTATACAGTTTTATACTTGATTCAGAAGATTTATCTGTTTTACGCAGCTGATGAAATTCCGCCTGCATGTTTGTTTTGTTGTTTGTTCTAGACCACCCGACGAGATTGTGAAACCTACCCTGTACGAGAACATTCCCGGCACCCCCGTGCCCCCACCACCTCCACGGAAACCTTCGTGACACACCGGACTGCAGTATAGAAAAAACAACCCCTACTTTACGTACCTTCTCAGTGTGATGTAAAAATAAGGCAGAATGGGAAACTGAACCCGATCAATCTGCAGGAGTTTCTCCAATTACAAAGATCATTTACACGTACTTCATAATTAATTTTCAATCCTTGGTATTTGGCAGGTTTTCCTCGTAAATTTCGGAATTGTATAATCAATCTTTGAGCCTATGCCATTTTGTTTCAAATTAGAACATGACATACGTATTATTACAAAAGTTTGGACATCGTGGCTTTATGTAATATAGAATTTAGTGAGGATGTTCAATACCCTATTCTATCTCTTGTTTTTGTTTTTTTGGTTATGTGACTGTAACTTCAAAGTGTTGGATTTTATCTTTTAATTTTTTTAGCTTGATTATGTGCTTCAGTCAATGTAGGCTTCAAATAATGTTTTTGAAATTGTTAAGAACCTGTGATTTTTATTAATCTAATAATCGCATTTAAAGCCATTGGTGTTTATGTGAATGATATAACTATTTTTTCTCGAATAGAAAACGGAGAAAATATAGAAATTGACTCACGTTTAAAAGTGCCATTTTTATCAGTAAACCATGATGGAATTATTTTACTTTTATAATTATTGTGCGCCCATATACAAAAGAATAATTCTTTATTTTATCTGCTATTCCCTAATTTTTTAATGTCGAGTTGCTACACAGTAAATTATTTTCTGTATGTTAAAATTTATTAAGTGAGACGCAGAAGACTCAGAAGTTACATAAATAACATAATCTGGCTTGTGCCTTGATAAGTCGTCAGTCATTCAAACTCCTAATATTCTTAACGAAGTTATCAAAATACTTAATACACTAGATTCACTTATATACAAAATTTTATTTTCCATCGTATGTTAAACCTTTTTGAAGGAATTTTACATAATGTCTATATTCATACATACATACATACATTCTCCTAAATTCCATAAATATTTAATAATAATAAATGATTTTTATTTAGGTCGAAGTTTAGCTACAAAATAGCCAACTAAATAATCATAAAAAACCTATGACATGATAGTATGCTGTGTTTGTAATAACATGTTTTATACACATAGTTTTATAAGTCGGCGTAAAAGTGAAAAAGGGCTGTACGTTTACGGCAACACCTTATATTTTTGCATGAACTTTTTAATTGCTTTGAAAACATCTCCACAGATTTTATAAAAACCAAAATGCTATAGGTGAAACTATATATGGAAAATGCTCCTAAAGGTATACAAATCTGGATCGATTCAAATTAGGGCATATTGGGTCAAATCACCTTAGCCAAATTTTCAGATCGATAGGTCGTCCCAAGGGCCCTTAACCTCAAAAACGTGTTTAGACGAAAATAATTTTTTGCGGGAAGTAACGAGATTATGTTTTTTGGATGTTATATGAGGTACATCACAAAAAAACATGTCACTCATTTGCGTCGGTCTTTCTGTCTGTTGGTCTGTTCGCTAATCTTATAACCGCCTATAACTTGAGAAGTATCGTTCTTATTTCGATGAAAAGGTTTGTAGTTTGAAAATCGTTCCAGTGGCGGCAGAGGAACAAGCCTAAAACGAAAAAAGTAACAATCGGCCAAACTTCTTTTTTGGGCTTTCAGGAGAACTGGTCATTTAGAAAAAAAAAATTGAGGCATAAAAGCTTGGGGGTGAGTGAGGGTTTATCTCAATTTTTTGATGCTGGTACATTTATAAGCTCTCAGCATTGCTGATTCTATCACCATTAGACATATTTCACCTCACGTATGTCTGCCGCGCAACACCATAGTGTTTTCTATGCTCTGGCCGCGCTACCACGGTGACACGTCTGCCAGAGTTAGGTATCGGGACGATATTTCCAGATGCACTAACGGTAGGGTAAGGCAGGGAAATAATATATATAGTCTCATTGTATGGACATGTTTGATTGACTTCCTTTATGTACTGAAAAGGGCGTTGCGTAGGAAGTGCAGAGTCTTTTTATTTGTGGCTTGAGAACAACAATTGTTTTTTCTTTCTCCTAATTTATGGTTAGGTAAAGAGAATTTCGTAAACTTGAAAATCTACTGTATATCAGTAATTTTTGCGTTTCTTTCAGATCCACTAACAAAATTACCTAACCAAAGATTCGAAAGAAACTTTTATTTTTTTTTCTCGAACCTATACGTTCCACAAATCAAAGAATTACGGTTATGAAGGGTATAACAATGTAGCTTCGATAATATTTTCAATTTTATTCTTGAGATTAGGGGCTCCTATCGATCGATCGAAAATTTGGCCAATGTACTTTGATTTGGATTGATCCAGATTTGGATACTTCTTTATCGATAGCTATGCGGTGTAATTCACACAAATACAATCATCAGAAGTATTCACTGTGTTGGGCCATATGAAGTTGCTCCATCCATCTATTGCCATGAATTAGGTTTCAACCAATGAGCGTTGTTGGAATGGAAGTCATGCTATTTTTTTAAATAATCACAGGGCAGCATGTAAGAACGTAGTTTTACTGTATCTACATGACTTTCTTTTCATACACACACGTAATATTCATTTTTCCAAGAATTTATGCATTGTTTGGCATCCACCATGTGCCACCAGATGTGAATTCTGTAGTTTATGACAAATATACGTATTCGGATCAGCTAACGAGTACACCTGACGATGGTTCAAATTCACTTCAAAATCGGAGAAATGTATATTATCAAGTACCACTTGAGGGACTCAGTTCTCGATTCCAGGGAAAATTATCTCGCAAAAGATATGACAATATACGATTCTGTCTTTGACAAATAACATTTTCAAATCTGACATAGGGATGCACATAATACTACTAATTGCAAAACGCCGAGAATATTTGTTTTGAAGCCCTTTATTCTCAAAATTGATTTGCTTTTCTAAGAAATTAACGCATCGCAAAGAACAATGCTGCTTAGACAGTTTTTACCCGACCGGCCTCAGAAGGTGGGTTGTCGCGCGTGTGTCCCGGCCATATCGTAGAATTGACTTATTTCATGAAATGATAGAGATTGAAACTAGTAACTCTAAGAAATTAAAATAAAATAATTATATTAAAATAGTTAATTCACACAACGAGTCACAAATAAAATTTTTGAACATGTTAGATATCACAAATTAAGTTATTACCTCGCGTGATCACCTTACTCTACTTTATAACCTAAAAATGAAATAAATATTACGACAAGTTTTACGTACGTAAAATAATATGGTAGTTCAATAGACAAACAATTTTTAGCTGGCACACGATTTTGACTTCCATACCAAGAATTATAATGGAATTTAAGAGTGAAGTACTAACCTGTGAAACGCGTTCCGAACTTTTTGACTTTTTGATCGGTACTTGCGTCATCTGTATTGACCTCGAGAACTCGAGTACCTTTTTGTCGAAAACTCGCACTTTCTTCCTCATTTGGTAACGAGTTATTTGGATGTCCACTTCTAACACTAAATTTGTTGTTATTAACGACTGCCTTGTTGAAATGTAAACAAAGCGCTGTCTGCACCTCTATCGGTAATTAATGTAAATATTTTACGATTTGATCAAACACGCACGATTAGTTGATCATACCGTTAAACGATTTATTATCACTGATCTGGTCAACACACATCATGATCTGGCCATTATATAATATACGCAAATACCGTAAATTCGCGAGCTTACTGAAGTAGTCGATCGACATTTACTAAAAAGTCATCCAAATTCAGATACAATTTTTTGATTTACACAAGTGTATCTTGCGAGTCCGAGTAATTTAATCCTCGGTGAACCCGGGGTACTCGGAAAAATTGGCTGAGTATGTCGAATATCGGGTGCAAACCGAGTACTTTGTGCATCCCTAATATCATCACAGTAAAATATTCACGCCGTTCTTATTGCGTTTGCCGAATATGTCACTCCCTTAAAAACATCGTTTGCATATTTTCCCATGAGCAAATTATCCCGGGAATCGAGAAGTGGACCCAAGAAGTGTTGTAGGTTAACCAACCCCTAAGAGTGTGTTACCTGATGCGAATGTGCAAATTTTCATTCCACTCCGTGAACCTGAAATTCACAATTTTAGGTACACTAGCATGGCAAGTGAATATATCTGATAGATAATACAACAAGCAATTATTTTAACTAAAAAAAATTAGGATAATGAAATATTAACTTAGTATTAACAGTAGAAGGTTTTTGAAAGTTTTATTTAATTTTTATATGACAGTTTTATGGTGTAATGTTTTCCATAGTTTGTATAAATTTTATTATGCATTTAAAAAAATGGAATTCAAAGTGAATAACTTTTTTATTATAAAATATATCATTTTGTTTCTATTCAAGACTAGCCGGTGAATATTCTCTGCTAATTTTACGTGGCTTGTTTTTCCAAAGAATTATGTTTAAATTGAGTTGAATGCAGTGTCGTGTTCTCATAGATTGTTATGTGATACTGAAAATACGTAGGATATATTCCTTTGTGAATAAGGCCCTGGCCCTGTGATGTGTTACTATCGTGATTTTTTATTGTATTTCTCTATTTTAGGTATTTTTTGCTAAATTGAAGACGAATTGTATTATTTAAACATATACATATATTAAATGTTTGTAAATTATTTGAGAATATCGTTTGTATAAATGTAAGGTTATTGTATACAATTTTTGACAGTTATGAAATATATATATATTGGTGCTAATTATAAGTATTTTTATTTCTATTATGTATCTGTGAAATACGAGTGCCTTACCTTTTTAATAAGAAAGAAGACGGTTGCAACTTGAACGAAAAAAATCTTGTGGGAAGTGCGATAGGAGGAAAGATAAAACTAAACAGTCAATTGAAAAATTGGGCGAGAAGGTATTGTAATGGCGAAAAATTTTGAAAATCAGATACAGTGGACTCGCGGTAATCCGACTAACGTTTTGCAGGGCGATGTCGGATTTTTGAATTGGGCGGATTATAGCGCATTGTCTGATGCCCTCTATAATCTTGAATTTTCTGAATAAGAGTGCCTTGTGATCCGACAAATTAAAAAATCAAAGAATCTATTTGAACCACTAATCATACCACATACTTTTGTATATGTATATATGTATTTGGATTTAAATTAAACATCACAATGGAGAGCTAATATTTTATTATAAAAATAACATCATCTATGCTATAGAACATACAAAAAGTAATAACTAAACTTATTTACGTTAGGAAATAATTAGGTTCAAACAAATTTACATATGTACTAAAAATACAAAGGATAAAATGTACATATCAATTTATAAAGACTTAAAATCTTCAATGTAACAATTTATTTTATTATTTAGGAACTGTAGATAACTTTCCGCGGTAACTCCAATCGACAATTATTGGCCCCAAAAGTTTTTCTCCGATAATACCCATCCCCAGCAAATGAAACCAAATCACTCTTGAAAATTTCATTCTTGCATAAGACGTAAGTTTGTGACCAGTACCTTTTATTATTCCGATTGAACATAACAAAGTTGGTAAACCGACGTTCGTCTGAATAAATAATTTTAAACGGAAAACATCTCTGTATTTAGTCAAAAACCAATTGCAACAAGTTCATCTTCAGTTTGTGTCGTCAACGTAAAGATGTTGGTGTAATTGGTACTGAAATGATCGATAAATATATAATATTTATGATGAATTCTCTAAACGGATGAATAACTTATGTCACATTCTAAAACAATTTGTCGAATTGACACTGTACAATTTACTTCAACATAGGCCAACACGTCTATTTCTTTTTTTTCACTGACGATAAAGTTATCGGCATTTTCTTCTGGGTCATTTCGCATTTTCTTTTCCAGTTTTGGATAATAATGGATGGCGACAATTGGGGAGTATCTGAGAATAAATTCAAGCTGCCTCAGTTGCATTTTTTCTTGCTTCCCCGTAAATCAACAGCATGTCAATTTTCTCGTTTCTATACCCTATTCGGCCATAAAACTCCGACACAGGTTGTTGCTGGTCATTCGGTGCATACATGCGCGTGTTTATACGTTAGCATGTCTTCTACGGATCCAGCAGATGAAACTGATAATATTTCTCCTAATGCTTTCTTCAGCCATGCTTCCCTCTCAGTGATGTCTCCAACCCGGAAACGTGACAAGAAGAGACATTTGAATATTCAGGCAAAAGAAATTGTCTTCAACGTTTATAAGAACGAAATTTTCGAGCATCCTGAAATGAAAATTCATGATATTGAAAGATGTGTGGCGAACAAAAAAGGCTTATGTATAATTTTCAACATTGTTAAAGAATATAAAACAAAAAATTGTCTACACCACAGAAGAGGCTGCATTACCCGAAGCTGTTGGATACAGTTGATAACTTTGATCGGAATGCCACCAGGCGCAAAGTCCATCAATTTTTTTAAAGGCAGGAACTTCCTACCATAGACAAAGTATTAAAGGAGGTTAATAATGATGAAGACTTACCCTTCAAAAGAACCGCATTCTATAGTTTACTCAAAGAACTTCATTTTGAGTGAAGAGAACGGGGCAGAAATAGTAGATAAAGTATATAAAGAAATACCGCGACCAGGGCAGGAAGATTTATTACTTGGATGAAACCTGGATAAATACAGGACACATACAGAACCTAAAGTATGATCGGACTCTACAATTAAATCAGCAAGACAAGCCTTCTTAGATGGACTAACCACTGGCCTAAGGCCCGTATCGTCAGTCGTCTCTACAATTGTAGGGAGCCTTTATGGCCTCCTTGATTGTCATAGTTTCCTACTTCTCCGTGTCAGCGCTCTATTTTGAGGTTATGTCACAAACATCTATTTGTATCAAATTGTGCTTGTTTTTGAGTTATATCATGTTATATCAGCCTGAAACTTCCTACAATTTAAAAAGAAAGCATATCTTCACAATAGGAGAGCGCTGATGCTGATACGGGACAAGTGTAATCTAGAAATTTTTGAAGGAGAGAAAGGAGTATGACAATCATGGAGGCCATAAACGCGCCCTACAATTGTAGGGACGACTGACGATACGGGCCTTAAGAATCCGTCAGGTACGTGTGTATCTAACCAATTCGTCATTTGTGTTGTAAAAATGGTGTCAAGTAGACTGAATCTATGACCCCAGGCTGAAGACTTAGCTACACGAAACTTAGCTATATATGGTAGATTTGGAACCAACACCTGTTAGATACTCTGCTTGTATTATTTTCTTGAATACTATACGAAATAATTATTTCTAGGACAAGGCAAACGATTTGTTATATGTCACATTGGCAGTGAAGATGGCTTTGTGGCATTTGAGTCAAAGCAAACGACCGAAGAAATCAACGGGAGTTCGTTTGAACGATGGTTTGAAGAAACGCTCCCAAAGCTTGATGACAATGCCGTCGTTGTACTTGATAATACTACATACCACACTAGAAAACTATAAAAAAATCCCTACTATGTCCACAAGAAAGACAGAAATTCAACAATGGCTCCTATCGAAAGAAATTAGTTTCAATGAAAATATGGTCAAAGCAGAACTTATCCATCTAGTCAGGCAGCACAAATATAAATATATTCTTAATGTTATTGGCTAAAAACCAAAATACGACCGTTTTAAGGCTACCTCCTTATCACTGCGAATTGAATCCTATTGATGAATTGGGCAAATATGAAAAACTATGTGGCTTCAAACAGAACATTCAAATTTTCTGACGTGAACAATTTGTTTTATGAAGCTGTCAACAGGGTGGAAAGATTGCATCCGTCACGTACAAGAGACAATCGAAACAAAGATGTGGGATCTGGACAATATGATCGATATTCTTTTTTTTTATACTCCAACTACCACGAAGGCCTAAGGCCTAAGCACCTATTGGGTACCGTGGGGCTATAGGGGGATACATGGGAAAGGGGGGACGCCACACAGACTCTGGCGAGGGAACACGTGTGCATGCAACATGCACACATTCTGGCTCCGCCTACGAGATCCGCCGGGTGGTACCTCCACGTTCGACAGTCAGAGACCGTCTACCACCTACGGACAATCACAACATCCATAGCCAAGAGAAAAATTTCTCCTGGGACGGGACTCGAACCCGCACAGCGCACGGCGACTGATCAGGAGACCGAAGAGTCTACTACTGCGGCCACCGCTGCTGCCTAAAACAAACACACAACATCCATGGCGAAGGCGAGATTCGAACTCGCGGCCCGGCCGGCCGGCTAATCAGTAGCACGACATTCTGACCCACGCGGCCAACCGAGGTCCCCCCTGTAATAATTAATATTAACCAATCGGACGATGATTCAAGTACTTCCATCGAATAAAAAATTGTGAAAAGTATGTGCACTTCTTTTTATAAAAATAATCATTTATTTTGTTAGATTATTCCAAGACCGTTGAGGAAAATACCGACCTGTACAATCTCACAACAAATAACTGACAGTGTTTTTAATAACCTAGATTAGGTATTTGTTGAAGTAACCGTAGCAACGTCCTCAATTGTTTGTCACGTATAACTACAGTATATTCAGATAAGAGATAGACCGGATGTAAACAAAAGGTTCGGGTGATTTTCACGCTAACGCCGCCGTCTCGACGTAAAACAGGAGCCCTCATTGGTCAATTCGCAATTAAATGCCTATGCCGAGCGGCAGAGCAGTCGTATCAAGGCAGAGTCACATTCAGGTTCAGACGTGTTACGTATGTCGTGTGCATCATTGCAATTTGATATTTCTTTGGACGTTTTCGTTTGTTATCTTATTAAGTTGTTGAGTTTGTCGTTGTTATTGTTATACCTTGTTATTGATTGTTATTGTTATCAACTGCTTGCGCAAAATGCCCAGTAGTACAGATACTGCCGATGAAGTTGTAAACTCCTGTAGTCCACCTAGGAAACGCTCTAAAAAAAGACACCTGAGTGCAGAAATGAAAGAGGTCATTTTGAATATATATAAGATCGAGCGCGAGGAGAACGAGGCATCAACCATCAAAGAAATTGTTGTGAAGGTTTCTCACAAAGTTGGGGTGTGTCGCGCATCAGTGTTTAATGTGTTAAGACAATACAAAAAAAATCACACCTTTTCTGAGCCAATGACCAGTAAACATCGCAAAAGTATTGTTAAATCATTGGATGAAGCTGATAAGCATGCGATTAGGAGGAAAGTGCATGAATTCTTCTTTAGGAATGAAATACCTACTATAGATAAAGTACTGCAGGAGGTAAATGGAGATACAACGTTGCCAAATTTCAAACGATCAACTTTCCATGCGTTACTGAAGCATTTAAATTTCAAATGGAAAAAACGGGGTCGTAATAGTTTACTACTGGATAGAGAAGAAATTGTGCTATGGAGGAGGGATTATTTAACAAAAATTGGGAATATAGAAATCAAAACAGGAAGATTTATTACCTTGATGAAACGTGGGTAAACGCAAGACACACTACAAGTAAAGTATGGGTTTATGATTCTGTAACTTCATCCAGGAGGGCCTTTCTAGATGGACTGTCCACCGGATTAAAAAATCCAGCAGGTAAATACGAGTAATAGACAACAATCGGATGTTTTTCAAACCTTGGGAACAAGGTTCTAAACATTAATTCCAGGGGGCAGATAAAACATATTACAAGTAACAAAACTTTTATAACTTTCGATAAAATGCGTGGATGTTTTATTGTCATTTTCATTTGTTAGAACTTTTTTAAGCCATGTTTTTATGTGTTTTCGATATTTCAATAATTTTTTAATATAATCTTAACATATGTCGAATATTATAAACTTAAAAAAAGTTACTAAGTTTTATATTGTGTACCGTTCCTAATATTTCTAATCATTTTAATTCATACTTTAAGCTTTATAAAGTTATAATTTGTTAATATTAATATTTGCGCGTATTTCAGGTTCCTGATCATTCATTTTTTAAAGGTTTATAACTTTAAATTAAATTGTGAAGCGCTGAGTAATCATACGACGTTCAATATTCTTTCTTTCAATATGACTATATAATCCCAATTATAGCAATCTGATACTCATGTCTCAATGTTTTTTCGCTGAATGTGATGAAAACATTTGAAAAAGGTTCGCTCATTGAAATAAATCTACACCAGTTAGTACTTCGATTTCCAAGTAAAGGGAAAAGGCTCATTATCTGCCATATTGGCAGTGAGGATGGATTTGTTGTTGACGGTCTGTGGTGCTTTGAGTCTAAGAAAACTGGAGATTACCACGAGGAAATGAATGGCGAATCGTTTGAACAGTGGTTTTCAAAATTGTTACCGAACTTAGAGGAAAACGCAGTAATTGTGTTGGATAATGCGCCTTATCATTCTCGAAGAATGGAGAAGGTCCCAACAACGGCTTCAAGGAAAGTTGATGTTCAAAATTGGCTCCGCTCGAAAAATATCAACTTTGAAGAAGCAATGCTGAAAGTACAATTATTAAGAATTGTCAAGGATCACAAGGCGGAATATCAAAAATACGCCATTGACGAAATGGCAGCAAGTCAAAATAAAACTGTGCTCCGTTTACCTCCATACCATTTCGAGCTCAATCCCATTGAGCTCATATGGGCAGAGGTTAAAAATTATATAGCTAAGCACAATACAACTTTTAAATTTTGTGACCTAAAAGGACTTTTCAAAGAAGCACTAGAATTAATAAAAGCGCAAAAATGGGAAAACTGTATTAAGCACGTGAAAGACAAAGTTGAAAAGAGAATGTGGGAACTGGACAATATTTTAGAGGAACAAGTCGAGCCATTCCTCAGACTAAAAATATAAATAGACAAATAATTCCCTACAAAATATCGTCGTCAACATAACTGTATTTACGGTAAACAAATATATGCGACGCTGCCACTTCTCCATACTGAAAAATCTATTGAAAATGGAATGAGATATTGGTGTGCACTCCGCCCGAAATGAAGGTGGACTTAAATAAGGTGTGGACGCTCCGGTCGATCGTGCTCGTAGGCAGTTGTCAACGTCATTTTAAATTTTAAAAATTTATTTTTTCTTTTCATATTTGTTTATACTCGCAAAAACGGTCACAGAGGTGGCTGACACGCCGTAAATTCAAATCAAAACGGATGCAGGTTCATGTTGGGTAATTCACAGCGAACATTACATATAATATTTTTCCCAGTCAGTTGTTTGACTGGACTTGTTCCATCTTGGACGAAACTTGCTCTCATTCGAAAGTAGCACATTTCTACCGACTTTTTGCCGAACGTGGCAACGGTGTTCAACGGCAAGTGGTGGATGCGTACACAGAATTTACAAACATCTGATGTTTGTTGTTGTGCACAGTGAATTTGTTGCGAGTATTCAAAAGTGTTTTCAGGTTGTTTTAGCGGCAATTATAGCATTGTTATCATTGATAGACAATTTTCAAAGACAATGGGACGTTGGAAGTGCATTCTTTGTGGAGTTAGCAGTGAAAAAACTGAGGCAACCTTCCACAGGTGAGTTAGAGGTTAGAGGAGGACAAGGGCGTAGCGCATGGGGATGCGTTGTGATTTTTAGTATTAAGAAATAGACATTTTATAGTTATTGGTTGTTTTTACACTGTATGTGTGGTGATGTACTTATGTTCACTTACCATTTTGTCAATGTCTTATGTCAATAATAAAGACGGTTATTATTTTCAAAAAATACTCTTCTGTTAGACACGTTTTTGATCTTTCAGGTTTTCTAGTGAAGAAAAAACAAGAAGAATGGTGGATTATCCTCAATATTGACATAAATGATTTACCACTTCATGCCTCTATTTGCGCAAATCATTTTCACAAAAGTGATTTAATAGAAGGCAAAAGAACTCAACTAAAGCATTCAGCAGTTCCATCAGTAGAGCCTTTGAGGCAAACAGAGTAAGTCCTTAATTATATTTAGCTATTGGATGAAATTGAATATTTTGTTGCTATACTTTTACTTATCTATTTTAAAGTGATTCCAGTGATGAGGAGAATGAAATCAATCTTGCCCAGGAAATTGCCCTATAATCCAACTTAAGCTCCACAATAAATGTAGTCTCAAAATCTTCCTAAACAATATTTCATACAGGGTTGACCAAACAGACTATTGTACAATATGTAATACTCGAAAGACCGAATCTTTAGGACATCTCCTCTTGGAATGTCCATTATACAATCCATTGAGCATATTCTGTCAGATCGTTTGAACCAAATCTGTGTCTTTGCTTGGCTAAATAAAACGAATGAGTTGAATTTATGATACAAACTTTTAAAATACTTTAGGGAACTATTTAAGCTAAGATCTTTCTTAAGGAATGAATAGTTTTTTTGTGCCTTCAATATCAAGACAGAATATTTGAATTGATGCGTCAATTATTTATTCTTTTTCTGTTTGTTTATATATTTTTTTATATACAACTTTTGATCATGGTTACTATCATTTTCTTACTATTTTTTTTGTATTCATACTCTGGACAGGAAATTTTCTACCCAATTCTTATTATTTACATAATACTCTCTGTTGTTTATATACCTTTGTACTAAGCCATTCATTATTGACGTTGGTGCTTCAGGCAGTAGCGATGATGAAAGCTCATCAAGCTCATCTTTCCAATAAAAGATGTCGTTCATCAAATTCGGTAAGTTATAAGTAATTATAAAGCTACTGTATTTTTTAATTAATTATTGACATTTTTGAACCCATTTTGGCAAAACCTATTCAAGAATCTACTTTCTGACAATGTTCAACCATGCACATTTTTTTACGTTTTGAACGTTTTAATTTGGTTACATATTTACCTAGAAATCAAAAAATATACTAATCAATATTCTAAAAGCAATTTTAAGAGATATACGATTATTTTTAATTTAGGCTAATTTAAACGCCATTTTGAGATTATATTCGACTGTATTTCACCAAACATCAGGCGGCATCCGAAGCTGGAAATCGAAGCGAAAATTTTGAAACCCTTATGTATATTTACATCATTATATATTTCTTACCCCACCCCCACATGATCCTATATCCATCACCAATCGTATACACATCGAATTGTGCTAATTTACTACAAAGTTACGCAAAGCAGCATCTACTATCTAAAATATGTACTGCGTGACTCTTAATACGTCCCTGCCGAATGTTACAGCGTTCGATGATCACGTGGTCTTGTTTATGTCCGGTCTATCTCTTATCTGAATATACTGTAGAATAATATGACTTAGTGCATAGGTATACCGAATGCGGATACGTATTATTTGTTGTTAGGTATGATCGTTTCTTACAATTATTCAGAAAAATAGTGAAAATAAAATCAGTGTGTAGTGTCAAATGATTCCTAAGAAACTGGTCTCTTAGAAAAAACCTACGAGCCACCCCCTCTCTCTTTGAAAATATCAAGTAAAAAGAAAAAATTAGTGTTTGTAACTTTTTTAAATTATTTAAAACGACTGTAAGGTTGTCTTGACGAATATTGGAATTCTAATTATGCAACTTTTCCCATCGTTTAAGCGACTTCGTTCACAGTATATTCGTACACTTCAACTGGTTTTTTCTGGGGTGACCCAACAAAAACGTCGCACCCCCATTGGTTACTCTCCTGAGCTGCTTTCCAGTGGTTCTGCTGAGTTACTCAGAGTAACTCGGTAGTGTTCAGCACCAATACTGGAGCCGTTCGGGAGCGTATCACTCTCAAACCAAAAACTGGAAAGCAACTTTGGTATATTTTTTAAAAAACGCTCGGACAGGTCAATTTTTATTTCTAGGGGGACGTCTTTTCAGCTATAGCCGTACAACATAAGGTGATCCAAAAATAAGATATTGCGTTACATTTTAGATTTTTAAATGGAAACCCCCATTTATTTATTTTTAAATTTTCCATGAAGTTTTTAGTAACTTTTGTATAATAATGTTTATACCTATCCTCAATCGTTGTGAAGCTATTTGAGTTCATAATAACATTCGACTAACTTAATACTGATAATAATGGAATGCACGGCAAAAAAATAACCAAAGAACATTTAGCATCAGTCCGTGTTATCGTATATCATAGGAGAACTTTGTCTTTCATTCCAAATTGTTAAGTTACCTACCTAGTTGTGATAAATATTGAACAATGACTTATGCTATTCAAGAAAGGGTAGAAATAACAAAACTGTATTGCCAAAATGGGAGCATTGCAAGAACTACTGCCCGGTTGTTAAATGCGTTACATCCAGACAAAAATATTAACGATTAGTATGTAGCTAAGTTGATGAGAAAATTTGAAGAAACTGGATCTGTGTCTAATATTCGCCATAATCGCCATCGAGAAAATCGACCAGTTAGAAGTGAAGCCGCAGAAATAGCAGTTTTGGGACACGTAGCACTTGACAACAGCACAAAGAATTTTGAATGACAATAAATTTCACTCATACAAGATAAAACTTGTCCATAAGCTTAATGAAGACGATTTTGATAGAAGGTTGGTATTGCGAATTAATGTCCCAACGTTCAAATCAACAATGCAAATCTGTTATCTAATATTTGTTTCTCGGATGTGTGTACGTTCTATTTACATGCTGCTGTAAATAGACATAATTGTCGATATTGAAGCGACTCGAATCCACATTTGTTTCGAGAGGTGCTACTTGCCAAGCGCAAGGTCATTAGCAGCTGTCTCAAAACTTTCTCACCTAAAACGACATCTTTTTTAGTGTTAGATGAAAATCGCGTCCTCTCATAGACCGAAAAGCTATCTACTTGACACTGCTTTCCTACTACGAGACCCATTTCATAAACCATAAACAGTTCACCCCGACCTCTTTACCGCGGCTTACCTGACTCCGCTAGTACAGTTCTGACACAGCGTATCGTCGGCTGATGCTGATTATTATTCTCCTACAAGAAATATATAATCTGAATTGGAATGTCCAGTTCGTATGACCCACCTTCCCAGGTCCGACCGATGCCTTGTTTGCGGTCCTCATTTTGTGCGTCCCACAGTTTTCCATTGACTGCAAATATACACGTACGGGCAGCGCGCAGCGCCGGGAGCGGCGGAATATCCAAGTACGATATTCAAATTTTAACGTGTTGGGTACAAACTGAGGACCATTTGTTTTTCACGTTTTCTTAATGATTAGGGGAACACGATACATAGGGTCTGACAAAGTGAGGTCCGTTTACGGAATCGTATACAGGTGGTTACTATTCTCGCACCGTGGTACCATTTTAAGTGCCCACGAGGCGGCGAGGTGAAACTATAAAGCGACTGGAGATACCTTACCAATCCGGTTTGTTGCTCTTGAACGCCGCCAGATGAAACATCAAGCAGCTTGAAAGAACAAAGGAACAGTGGCATGGATAGGATTGAATTTGCCTCTAACAGTCGAAACTTGGTTGGCAGGTGGTGCTGTAGACTAATTGGTAATCGGCTATATGGATGGGGGAAATGCGGGTTCGAATCTCGCGGGCGCCCATTTTTACTTCCTTCAAGTTGTTGTTTACAAAACATACTTGCTGCAGCGGATGCACTCATCCGAAAAAACATATACAGGCACATTCACTAATAAAAATTATTATGATCCTTTCGTCATATTAACTAAATAAAATGATATTCACAAAGTAATTTTTTACCCATTTTTACCGTAAATCGTCAATAGAGCAACGTTTGTAAATGGCGTGAACCGGGCATGTGGTGGAGATGGTAACTGGTGTAATGTGCCTTCATGACTCAGTCACGCTCCAGCAAGGCAACTCTCCAAATAAGAAACTTCTGGTTAGGGTAACATTGTCAATTTTTAAGACATTCAAAAAATATTTTCAGTTCCGCCCCTACTGAGCGGAGCCGTGGCAAATGCTTGTTTCGGAAGTTGAATTAAGTATACAACTTGTTCCCGTTTATGTGATTGTACACGCGTTAAGGAATAACTCAGTATCGATTAGCGGGTGGCGGTACAAGAACGCCAACGGGCCACTTTAGGTCTATTTAACATCAATAACATGCAAAATGAGGGTGGAAGACAAGGACTAGTCGACCGAGGCGGTACCACCCGCTAGCTTTTCCCAGGGTGTCTTATAAATGTCCACATGTTTCCACACCTAAGCTAGGCACTAGGTCATCTTCCTCAACAGAGAAATATTAGTGATGATGGATCCCTCGAGTACTAAGACTTCCGGACGTAAACTCACTCCACTCTTGGAATGTTCGGGTGGAGGGTGGACTCGAGGGAACCACATCGAAGATAAAATTTGTTTCTGTGTCATCTGCGGGATTAACAGCTGTAACGCTGTTCATCACTCATTCCAATCGTCCCGCCATGCTTTTGTTGGCGGAGTCAAAAATCTCAGAATCTGCACCGATTAATCATCGTAGGTTCCCAAATTACGAGGGGTACTCCAATCTGAGAAAAAACGGGGAGTTGTGGATTTTGTCCGCAGCAGTCCTTCCTGCTCCAAAGGCGTTTCCTTGGAATCACACCGGAAGGACATTCTGTGGCTTCGTCTCAACTCCAAAACATCCCCCAAATTTATTTGCTGCCTTTATCGCTCTCCCTCGGACCATAACTGGGATGACCTACTTGAATACCTGCCTGTCAAGATCGACTTCCTGAACCTAAATCACCTCGCTTCAGAGGTAGTTCTCGGTGATTTCAATGAACATAATGAGGTTTGGTTGGGGGTTCATCCTCACATGGCCTCTACCATGGAGCCTACATACCAGGAGTGAACGAGATTTCGAGAAATGATGGATAAACTAGTTCACTTAGTTCAGTCATAAGAATCGTTCGTTTGATTTAGTGCGTTCGTGAACTGCTACACATCACTAGTACTCGAGAACTTGACATTGAGAATCAGTGTTACCAGGTCAACCGATTTTTCGGTAGATCTACCGATTTTGGTCCTGGTCTATCGAACTACCGATTTTAAAGCAAAATCTACCAAAAAGTGGACTTTTCTTTCAATTGAATAATTTTTTTAGCGATAAAAAGAATCACAAAAGTACTATTATTATTCGTACTAGACCAGATATATTTTTATTCTCTTTGCCTGACATTGGTGTGCCACATACGCTGATTCTTCGCTTCTGAGGAGTCACCGAAGATACATCGCCTAGGCCTAGCCTAGCGGCTCGTGACAAGTCCATGTCTGAATTCTATGATTTGTAGATTTTTGTGTACTCAGTAATTCAGAATTCGACCAGTATTAGTATTGCCTGTGACGCAGTCATTTTTTTTTTTAGCGTGCGTTCACAATCTAGAATCAAGAAATGGCTGATAGTGACAGTGGTGGTGAGGGTAGTAGCACCGGCGTAGTAGCCAGAAAAAAAAAAGAAGTATGCCCAATATTATAAGGAAGACTGGGAAGAACTGCCAGATTTCCAAGGCTGGCTTGAAAAAAGTGCGATTATGCAAAACGTATGGTCTGTGATAAAGATATTTATATCACCAGTGGAAGAGGTGCACTTATAAAACATGCAAAGTGCAAACCATAGCAAATCAGCCAAAACTGTTGTCATTTGTATTTGCAGGTGCATCAAATAAATTAGAAAATGATTTTAAAAAAGGTAAAATTAATCAATTTATTTGAGAAGATTCGAGATTATATCGATTATTTTATTATTTCTAGGAGAAATTCGTTTGAGCGCATTTTTGACCGAGCATAATTTGCCATTCCTGCTGATGGACCATTTGGCATAGCAAAATTAGTCGATAATATGACTGATAAAAACATACAAATATGAATCGGAAGACTGATTATCCACTATAGCTTACACATTTTTTATTTTATACTATTTTTCTGTTTTTATTAAGAATATCTTATTTTTAGTTAGCTGAAGTGAGATATAAACTGTTTATTTTTGTTTGTCTTTCTGTTTTAGAGTATATTTTGAGTTAAATCGTATCGTAAATCGCCGAAGGTGGTAGATGGTCTCTGACTTTCGAACGCGGAGGTACCACCCGGCGGTTCTCGTAGGCGGAGCCAGAATGTGTGCATGTTGCATGCACACGTGTTCCCTCGCCAGAGTCCGTGTGGCGTCCCCCCTTTCCCATGTATCCCCCTATAGCCCCACGGTACCCAATGGGTGCTTAGGCCTTAAGCCTTCGTGGTAGTTGGAGTATAAAAAAAAAATTATTTTAAGTAAATGTCATTTACTCTCCGGTACTCAATCTACCGAAAAATTCTACACAATTCTACTGAATATCGTCGAGCCCACCTGGCAACACTGTTGAGAACTCATCGGTCGCCGGGCAAACGCAAACATAAACATCACAACATAAACATAACCTACATCCTCTTCTTGGTTGTTGAGATTTCTGATATAAAAAAGGCGGAAAATAATAAAAAGAGGGCAAAACCGATCAACTAATATCGAAACTATTTCATACAAATGCTTCCCCTTGCCCACAATAAGGTTTCGTTTCGTTGGGGAGAAATCAACAAGCCCAAGAATTACACTATTCCAAATATTAAAGCAAAACAAAGGCAAAAACGTGCCCCTTTTCTTGAAAACATTACATTTTCTCACGATATTTCTTCCGGGCATTGGGGAGAATTTAATGAGGAAGAAATATACTCTGTTCCAGATATTAATGAAGATATTGAGCGAAGTATGAATAAATGTAGTTTAGATGAATTTGAAGATCCTAGTGATATGCAACATATTGAACATATAATGTAGGTATTTATTTTACACAAATTGGCATCGGGTTCTAAACCACAGCCACAGAATATTTTATATATGCAAATCTCCAATTGGCAAACACATGACACCACAACATCAATGGCTTTGGAATGTTATTTCCGAAGACGAGATTCGAACTCGCGGTCAGGCCGACCGGCTGATCAGTAGCACGACACTCTGACCCACCGGGCCAACCGAGGTCCCCTAATGTTACCTTATTAAAAAAGTCAGTTAGTGTACAAGATCTACTATATAGTTCTGTCCACTGTTTTTGGCAGTTATATCAATTCAGTATCAACCAAAATAACTAAATAAGTTGACTAACTTTAGCATTTGTGGAGCACAACATCCGTAAGGAAATTGCATAAGCTGATCCTTTATGCAACTGCTATGCACTCTTGCACACACACACATGAATTGGGTGATAGACTATTGTTTTCATTCGCTTTTACAAAATATTCCAAACAAACTGTGAAGATTGTTGCTAATCTTTATATTGAAGATCAATAAAAGGTTAGCTTGCATGCTCATGCCAATCAAATTGTTATACCAACTATGACACATAAATGTAGAAGATTTGTACATCAAAATATGAACATTTCCAAGGTGGTGAGAAAAAAATATCTGTGAGCTCACAGCCTGTATGTGTGAGGGAGATATTTACTAAAACTCAGCAGCTGAAGCAAACCATTATGAATAATATACCTCACAGTACTTTACATCAGCTGCTGAAGGGTAGAGAATGTAACCAGTGGCTGCCTAAGATGCTAAATGACATCTAAATTAGCCAACAATCAACATGAGCTGCTATGTGTGGTCACTCTGCTTATCTGCCGAGTGCTAGTGAACATAACCAGCATCCATATTACATAACTTAAAAAGTGACATTATATATAATTATATATATAATTTTTATGACATTATGTAAGTTTTTCTGATATCATGTAAACTTTCCTATAAAATGTCACCATCGAACTGGATGACATGCTCACTTGTAGTAGGCACAGAATGAATCAGTAGCTACTTAGTGTACAAGTTGCCATCTTCCAGATTTTTTGCTATCTAGTTTTTTTATGTAATAACCCTGCAGTTTGTATGGAATAAGTATTTAAATTAACTAACTATACACTAACTATACCATGGGTGAAGCTTTTTTGAGGAAAATTATGCTTTGTGGAAATAACAGTCTCTTGCACAAATAGAGTGAATATTGCTAGTGGAGGACCTTTGTTTTTGTTCACATTCTAGAACTATACTTTCAAGATCAACAAATGGTATAATCAAATCTCATGGCCATGATAAGTCAGCTGTCATACTTACGGTGGCAGACATAGCTGTAGAAAACTCATATGTAATGAGAAAAATACATACACAATAAAGATCAACACAGAGGTAGAATGCATGTGTGTGTGAACAAGTCGGAAGTATGAAAGTGATACTGGTAGATTTACCAAGATCTCTAAAATTAAAGAATGGAGATAAAAATTAGTAAATTATTACACTTGACTTTTACAAAATACTGTAGCTGCCCACATATAAATTCATGTTCATTTTTAGACTACCTGCTCAAGATCCTCTAGTTCACTACACAATCTCATTGCACAAATATGTGGATGATATGACAGAAATGATAAGAGTAGCAGAGCTAGCTACAGAAAAGAATATCATACCACCAGAGGATGCTGTACCTCCTATGCCACTGAAAATAAAAAAGGAATTTACACATAAAAGAAATAGTCTTAACTATGTACCAAAAGATTTCACGTGAGTAGTATAGCTCTAGGTTCAAGGTATTACAATATTTTAAAAAATGAAAAGGGAATTGATCTGGTACTTTCAATAGATTAATGTAAATACATTTTCAGAGTGATATTGCTGAATATATGAACTATGAATTCTAGAAACAAAGTAATGATTCGTTTTTAACAATCTGTGTAAGCAATCTAATTAAATGCAGAATTCTAAAACAAACATTGTGTAACATAAAGTATAATTCTGCCCCCCTGAAGGAGATATTCAACCTGTAACTTGCCCCCATCCCACATTGAGCTATTGTAGCCATTTACACCTTTTATGATATTCCATGTAATACTTGTGGTAACAGTACTTGCAGGTTTGATTTAAAATAAATGTTTAACTCTAATACCTTAACTTTTTTCATTGTAATGCTTAGAGGAATTGAACTTGGAGAGTGTATAATTACTTTGATTGTGAAGTTACATTATTTTGAATGTGCAAAAGTAGTCTTAGTAATTACTGTATTTAGTTGAAAAGCTACATCCAGAAAACAGAGGTACCAGAAAAATAAATAAAAATGCTCATATTGTAGATTGTAGCAAGAATTCCAAAATAAGGAAGTTTTATTGTGTTATTGACATTTCCTTTAGGTGAGGCTATATTTGAAAATGACTTATCTCAGAAAGATTACATTCTGATTAAATTGGTAGACTCATTATTTTTATTTGAACTTCTCTGCAATCTGTACATTTTGAAATTTTCAGGCCTTTTAGTTGTGGATTGGCTACAGAGTATCCTGAGTTAAGTGAAGCTATAGTGAAAAATATTCTAGCAAAATCTATTGCTACATTGTTTGTACATATAGGATATGAAAGTGAGTGAACAAATAATTTTTCAATTATGTGAAAAGCTTATGACTTAGAGGATCATTCAATATGGCAATGATTTATTTGTGTAGTGTAATTGTCATAAATAACTTTCTATACATTTTTGGAGTCATAGAGGAATCTATTATCACGTCCAAAAAATACCTGCAAAACCGACAATTGTCTTATTTGTAGCATCGCATCAAAGTGTGTTGGATTTACTGATAGATATTGTTGAGGATTTCTTCAAAACAGTTTGCTTCAGGATTGTCAAGTCTGTGGAGGAAGAAGAAAAAGGCAACACAACTAGTTTTCCAGTAAGTTATTTTATATTTTGATATTTATTTTATTTATAATATTAATTTATCCACAGAATATTGTAGAAAAGGTACTCACTGAAACTGGACTGGGAGGAATAAGGGGTCTCAGTGATTACTACCAAAACAGAATTATTAAATATGCTACTGTTATGGAGAATCGGTGCAAGGAATTAATTGATCACTATTCTACAATGTTAATACCAAAGACTGAAAATCTGCTTGATAGTTCCAAGTATGTATGTATAAATGACAAAAAGTTACAGTAAGGTGGATTGATTGGCGCAGAAACATAAACACTTGCATTGAGTAATATGAATTATCATGTATTGAAGATAGGTGTTTTCTCAGTCAGAGGGAGCGGATTATCAGAAAGAGATAATATTCTGTAAAAAAACTTTTTAATGAGCGAGGGGTAGCAGGGCGAGGGGAGTACCGTGAAAGCGAAAATTTTATAAATTCAGAAAAATGTTTTTTTGTTTTGTGATGTCGACGACACGTAAATCCATGAGGGGTCATAGTAGGTAATAATAATAACAATATTTATTTTTAAAATACAACTGTATCACACAAAACAAAAATTAACATAGAGTACCTGCAGAAGGCAGCTACTTGAATTTTTTGAAATTGTTTAAATGCCAGTGGTGTTATGAGTAAGCATTAAAATGGCCTATGTTGCAAAGTTTGTTTTTGTATGCTATAAATTTTTGAAGGATGATCAACATCTTTGTGGAGGTTACCATTTATAAAAATTTTGAAAATTTGCTTTCATCGTTTCTGATTGCTTTAGGTTAGATCATATTCAAAAACATTATGGAGCGCACACAATTTATTTATTTAGCAAAAGGCTTATTTTGATTCATTAAAAATTTGAAAGTAGGCATAAGTGAATACTTGCAAAGTATCGAGTCAGTCTACTTGCCACTATTTTTTACAATTTTTTTATTAAACCGGAAGACCATTTTTGTGTTTCGGAGTTTTCAGCCTCTGAAGACAGTACGATGCTTGATAGTCAAACATGCCGCATAGAAGTCCTAAGATATTTTAATTACTTTTAATTTCTAAAAGCTTCTTGCAGCTGTTGGAGTTCTAATCTAGAGGGTTTGGGGTTAATAATGAGAAGCATTATACTGTAGCGTTTTTCTGGGTTCTTTTGGGTGTGAATTAAAACACTCGATTCCACAAAATGAAATGCACTAATTTATTTAAAACACAACACAACTAACTTTAACTTAACTAGATAGAACAATTATGTATTCCGCATCGCAGGTACTCGTTAATTCGAGAAGTTCCGGTACGCTACATAGCGGCCAGTCCAGAACCTTCGGGGTCAGTCTTCGATCTCGAAGGAGAGTCCCTGGCGCGGTTCTCAACAGATGCGCTAGTAGTGCCGAAGTAGAGTCCCTGGCGCAGTTCTCTACAGATGGCGCTGGTAGTACTATTCATTCTTGTTACACTGGCCCCTCCCTAAAGTCATTCCGTCCCGGAATGACCTTACTGGTGGTGAATGTCGATGTCGGCACGACTAACCTTTTTTGCAGTAGGAGTTCTTGAAGAAGTAACACTCCACACTCATTCCAGGAGGTAGCCGTCTAGGACTGTGACAACATACCAGAAATTGAATGCCTGTATACCGGAAGACTACCTCAAGCATGCTTCGGATGATTCTGCAGTGCAAATTGTCCAGTCCACATGCCAGCTTAGGTATTGCCAGTTTTCTGAGGCCCTCGGCAAGCAACACTTCTCTAAGTGAACACAAAGCGTTCCAAACATCTTCGTAATTCGGTTTCTGATACGAAGCTTTCTCGGTAACTAGATAGAACATCTTTCGGTTGGTACCCTCTCCAGTTATCTGGAGTACTTCTCCGACTTCCGGGTTAGATTGTCGCAGCTGGTGCACTCTTCCAAACTTCCTAAGACCGTTGCTATACCTCTCGACATTCGCAAGTCTTGAGCCACACAGTGTGCCAGGGCATACTCCGGTGAAGTGGTAAACAGATCTTGCTGTAGTTCTCACACCATACCGACTCTTATGGTCATTAGCATGGTGAGCCATAAATTGGTCAAATGACATGTCCGGTTCTGGTTGGATTTGCCGCACCGCCGTATCTTCGTTGTTTCCATGATAAGGTGCAAGGCGATTGAAATGTACAATTCGGGCTTCACCGCGTGGTGCCTTCTGAATCCCGTAGAGAACATCGTTGATGGCCTCCAGAACTTTATATGGCCCGTCTCAAGGGTGATTGAAGTGATTGAAGGCGGCAGCCCTTTATGCCTCTTTGGGTCGTAAAGCCAAACCGTATCACAATTCCATCTATCTGCGGGAGTAAGGCAGTAGTCCTGGTTTTCTTAAGCCCGAGGATTTGGCAGATATTTTGTAACATCAAATCGACAGATCCATTCCTTTACTAAAGCATCGGCTACCGTAGAGGCTTCCTAATTTGGTAGAGCGTATGCCTCAACCCAATTGCTGAAGCAATCCATTACCGCAATGATGTATTTATTTCCTGCTTCACTTTCTGGAAATGGTCCCGCCACATCAATAGCAATCCTTTCAAAGGGGTATTGTATTGGCGCATCGGAGCTTTTGGTTTCCTCTGTGCTCCATTACTTGCCGCACACAAACGCATTTTTAGAACCAGTCTTTTACGTCCGCCTTGCTATTGACCCAGTAAAATCTTTCCCTCACTTTTCCCAGGATTTTTGTAACTCCGAGATGACCTTCTGACACACCGGAATGGATTTTCTCTAGCAGCTCCGGGATCCGACATCTGGGGATAACGGTTTGCCTTCTTTCCTCTTTGCCGTCGTGGTCCACCATTTTGCTCAGTAAGAGTCCGTCGTCCATAACGAGACAATTCCACTGTACCCAATATGATTTTATGGTAGGGGAATACTTGGGAACTTTTTCCCCAGGCTGATTTCCGTTGTTCTTTCATCCAGATCCGAATTATTGGGAGATCGGGATCGCCCCCTTGGTCTTTAATGAGGTCTTCATTTTGCCAAGTATCACTAACTATAGTGGTTCTTAATACTTGGGCATCTTTCTCCTCTGCCCGCTGGCAATGCATACAATCCTCTAAACATCGTCTCCTAACGTGCCCTATTTTTCCACATTTCCAACATTCCAACTTGCTGTTCTGGCGCCAGCGTTCACGACCAAGTTTCTTAACACTGCGCTTGACGGACTATTCGAACTTGTTACCTCCTGGTACCATCTGGCGGACTTGGACCTGGCTTTTATTTGTGTTTTTAGCGGCTTCGAATTCTAAGGTCCGAGTTAGCGCATAACCTACCTTAGGTGGATATGTTAGTAGTAACGCTTGCCTCATTTCACGATCACGAAGTTTATCCAATAATACTTGAACTGTCAATCGCTCCATTATCCTTTCCTGGACATCGGGATATGATAATCGTACACACCGCGCAATATCCGCTTCGAACTCCTGCAAAGACTCGCCTGAGTTCTGGAACCGATTCTTTAGTTGAGTATGGTAGACATGTTCTAAATGTGACTGGCCATATCGCATCTCCAAATGTCCTACTAGCTGTTCGTAGACCTCTTGCTCTTCAGGTGCTATTCTTTGAAGAATAGCTGCAGCATCTCCTCGCAGGGCCAAAGTGAGTGCAGTTGCCCTTTCGGCCGATGACCAACCATTTGCATTTGCGGCTGCCTCAAACAGATGACCAGCTGACCCAACAGAAGCTCCAATCTCACTTGATTTTTCGAACGGAAGTCCACGCTGTCGTGCCTTGCACTTCTTGAAATCTGTCCTCCAGAGTTTCTAAAATCCGTTTTTCCAACTCGCAAGATTTTTCCATAATTTTATCTTCCAATTCTTTTTTTAAATTGTAGTGCCGAAGGAGAGTCCCTGGCGCGGTTCTCAACATGGCGCTAGTAGCACTATTAATTCTTGTTACAATACTATCACTTAGCCTTACAATATAATGTTTAGCGCTTGAGAATTTTTAATTTAGCACACGGCCTAAAACGACTTGCGTGAGATTGTGAAAACCGTTCAAGGCATTTTTTTCATACGTGGAGGCCTCTTAAAGCTGGTGGGCCCCGTATCATTGATACGGCAGTAGCTACGCCTCTGAATCTCGCATAGCAAACCTTTATTACGTGGATCAGTAGACTACACAGTCTAATATTGCGCAAGCCGTGCCTGGCACTACTACGATCAAAAATTAAATTGCGATCAATATCGGAACATTCTGACAAAACCTGCACATAACTAAACCATTTACGAGTAGATCATACCAAATGTCGAAACGTTACCATACCTAATCACCTCTTCCTCCTTTTTGCTCTGTTACTTTCTTTAGCTTTTGTCATTGTCTGTTTCCTGATTTACTAGAATCCAGTCTCGCACCAGATTTTTTTAGTTTTCTCAGGCTCCAAATGCAAATTACGTATGCGCATTTTCTGTATTATTTTAGAATGATTCGGATAAAAGAAGAGGATGCCGGTGAAATGTTTGACGTATACAACCCAGAAGTCCATCTTACAACTTTTGATAGCGATATGCCAGTATCAGAATCAGCTCTACAACTTCTTAATAGCCTGGAAGCTGAACAGGGGTAAGTGAAATTGTAAGCTCACTTATACGACATTATTTTATATCTTATATTTACAGCTTACAAGTTTTGGAGGCGAATAACGTCAAACAAGAGGATGTATAACAAATCGAATAATGAATAACTATTATTTCACAAATAAACTGGTAAATACAACGGATTGTTTCATTATCATAGAAATGCTACTTACTGTTCATTGGCTTTCTCAAAAACTATGTTTGTACCCCTTAACTATAACTGAGGGCTTCATCGACGCGTACTACAGAATCGTACCACAGGATACAGACTAAACATATTTTTCGAGCCGCCATATTTTCCAGAACATGGTATTTATCGTCTATAGTGTAAACATTTTAATAAAGCGCTTTATAAAGACAACGATTGAAATGCATCAAATCTCTACCTCAAAGGTTTTTCCGACGCTTCTTATCAGTATGTATTGCTTTATCGTAATTGGTTTCAGTTTTCAACTGGAACCATAGGAAATATGTTCGTATCACAATTATGAACAATTAAGATTCAGAAGTCAAGGCAAAACGTGAAACGAAGTGAAGCCGCTGTCGCAAAACTACTCTATGGCGCATTTTCACCGACGCTCTCTGCTCCACTTAGGAGCCGTAAAGAGACCTAGAATCCGCTAGATGACAGCTCATTTATTAAACCCTGCATTAAACGATAGAAGGTATCAGTGATGACCGCATAACGCGACGTTGTCAAATTTGCGGTAACAGAGTTATTGCTTTCAATCTAATTGCTGTGTAATCTAATAACAGCATCATTAAAGCACATACTACCACAGACCATCACAAGAATGCAATCAGCGGCCACAAAAAAAACAATATACAATAACGTGGCCAACCGCCTTAAGAACCCGATACATACATACATCACGTTTGATTCCAAAACCGCATAGCGTCATTGAAGGGAACACGGAATACAAACGAAAAATGTTTATTTTCAAAATCGCACCAATTACTCAATTACTCATTTACAATGACTGCATCAAAGCATTTCAGGGTAAATGATCTGAAATCAAACTTTTTGTGCTAACAGTTTTGAAGCCCTGCCTCTGAGATCACCTGAAATAGAAACAAGAATACTGAGTTGATATTTGTTAGCCAAAAATATTTTATACCGAATATAAAATACCGTTTGAGGTAGAAACTGAGCACGTCTACTATTTTTTGGCTTGAGAATAAATATCAACTTGCGTAAATTCATTCGGATAATAGTGAAAATACCCCTGGTTTGCGAAATAATTGTAAAGTCTGGTTTTATTGATGCAAGTTGTTCAAGGGGGTATTTTAAACATGGATGCATAAAATGGGTACACCAATTTTTGTGGGAAAACTTTTTATTCGACAACAAAGAATGAGAAAACGTGTTTTTGGGAATCAATCGAAAGTGTTGGCAGGCACCAAACAACTCTTCAAATAAGATTTTTAGGTTTTAATGAGACCTACAAAGTGAGACCACACATAAAAAAATCGGTCTAATAGTAAAGAAGTTATAGCCGAAAAGAGAGGCAAAATGCAGGTTTTGGCAGTTGCTGCTAATGCGACGATAATTTCACGCAACTACTTGAAATTCTTCATATCCGTAGGCTTCATACTTCTAAGTAACCACAACAAAATTGGAGTCGATTGGTCAGGCAGTCTTTGAGAATTTCTAATTGTTTATCCCAAAACATCTGTGTTCCGGCCATCACTATTAGTACAAATAGTATTACCATTCCGAAAGATAATTGTTGTTTTTATGTGAAAAACGAAGGGCTTCTTCTAAACAAATATAATACTATACTAAAGCTTTTAGAAAAAAGGTCCAGGGAATTATATTTCTTCGTAAAGAAACTGGATTACGTGACCTACTTATTTGATAAAGTCATGCAGTGATTAATAATGCAGCCATTTAGCACATTTTACATACTAACTAGGCTAAGACAGTTTGAAACATAATTGTGTCTTCGTTTTGCGTGCTAACTTTATAAACAGTTCAGCGTATTTAGGTATCAAATATTTATTTTTATAGACTTTAGGGCTGATCTGTGACCGTGTAAGACTTTCAGCTATATATATATATACAAGAGTATGAAGAAATCTTGAAAAAAAAATGTTTTATTCACAACATAAGGTGATGGACACATCCGCTTTGTTTTAAAATGTGTATAAAAACCTATGTTTTTTGAATATCGTAGCAAATCTGTTCAATTACTCACAAATACGAAATGTTTTAATTTGTTTAGAAGAAAAAAGGCAACCCTTCGTTTTTCCCATAAAAACAACAATTATCTTTCGGAATGGTTTGTGATTTATGTCGGCAAGGTAAACTCGTGTATTTTGCTATAAACTGCCCTTTGAACGAACCTTGTAACATTGCTCAGCAAACTAGTAGTGATGACCGGAAGACAGATGTTTTGGGATAAACAATTAGAAATTCTAATTCTCAAAGACTACTTGAGCATTTCTGTATGAAATATTTATTTTTATAAACTTTAGGGTCCATCTGTGACCTTGTGAAAATTTCAGCTCTAAATATGTATACACAAGAGTATGGAAAAATCTTGAAAAAAACTTGTTTTCCTCGCAAGGTGATGGACATATCCGCTTTACGAAATGTTTGAATTTGTTTAGAAGAAAAAAGCGTAGCCCTTCGTTTTCCGCATAAAAGCAACAATTATCTTTCGGAATGGTAATACTATTTGTACTAATAGTGATGGCCGGAACATAGATGTTTTGGGATAAACAATTAGAAATTCTCAAAGACTACTTGACCAATCGACTCCGATTTTGTTGTGGTTACTTAGAAGTATGAAGCCTACGGATTTGAAGAATTTCAAGTAACTGTGTGAAATTATCGTCGCATTACCAGCAAGTGCTAAAACCTGCATTTTGCCTTGGTCTTCGGCCATAACTTTTTTACTGTTAGTCTTTTTACGTGTGGTCTCATTCTGTAGGTCTCATAAATACCTTATTTGAAGTTTTTTGTGGTTCCTGCCAACACTTTCGACTGAATCCCAAAAAACACCTTTTATCATTCTTTGTTGTCGAATAAAAGTTTTCCCACAAAAATCGGTGTACAGATTTTATGCGTCCATGTTTTAAATACCCCCTTGAACAAACTGCATCAAGAAAACCAGACTTAACAATCATTTCGGGCAAATTTGATAGTATGATTAGACCATAATGAAACAAATAAACCTAGCTGATGCTCCAGACTTGGTGTATTATTTTTCATTGATCGTAATGCAGCATTTTAAGAGTGTATATGCCCAAAAACGTAAGAAATGCCTAGATTCATCATACATGTTTTGAGCGCCAATCTTGAAAACGAAAGAATAACCATTTTCAGACTGCTTTTGACGTCTATTTTGACGATTATCAAATAAGTTTGTGAATGAGTCTATTTCGGTTTCATCCGATAGCTGCTGTTCATTTTCGCTCTATTCGATTCTGGTGATAGACACTCTATGCTGTCATATTTCGATAGATCTGAGACAGATGATAGTTGTTATGCTTTCGTTCGTTAAGACCAAGCCTAGACAGCCGATGAGTTACCAAATATCACGAAACATCTATTCACGGTTATCCGTCTGCGTTTGGACGGACGAAAGCAGTATGTTAAGTTCAATGGCGATTCGATCATATCTACTATACCCCAGAATCGTCGGCATCTAGCGGTTATAGTGGTGACTTTGCTATCAAACGCGAACTGAGATTTTCACAGTTCCAATTCTGGCAGTGCTCGATTCTGGCACTCTATACTGACTTTTTTCGATAAATCAATTTTTATTCTTACAAGATGAAAACATTCGCAGTAAGCACACCAGAAATTAAGCTGCATTATCAGGAGAATTTTGTACAGGCATCTTGATGCATGCAAGGTTGTGATTAGAAAGTTTAGAAGTGACTAGAAGACATTACTAATTTTTTTTCACAAATTAGACCTCACCTCAAAACAAGAATATTCACTTACCTTATCTTTATGTCAAACTGCATGTCAGATATCTAAATCCAAATCACTATCATCATCAAACTGTCCGAAGCTGCACTTAATAGGCTTACCAGAATCCAATGTGCTGCCACTACTAGCTTTTGAGTTTTGCGAAAACATTGATGTAGTACAATCATCATTCCAATCAATATCCAAATCCATATTGAAAACATCATTTACTCCTGGCATAAACTTCAACAGTTGTAAGTCATTTTTTACCGAGTCGTCACTTTTTTTATTGATCAATAGTTGTTTACACTTCAGTTTACCTTCATCAGAACATGAAGCTTTCTGTGAAGTATCGGATGTACCCTTATTCTGAACTCTGCAGGGTTTATGACCGCCGATAAGATCGAATTTATTCTTTTCGCTCCTTTTTTCAATAATTCTCTCTTGACTATTTGAAATAATACTATTTGTACTTGTAATGTTAACAACCTCTTTGCAAGGTTCACTGGTACTATTAGCCGTATCTTTGCTATTTATAGACATAATCGACTTTTTTTCATAGCTTGTTGATGTGACAAGTTTGATCCTTTTTGATAACATGCCTACTTTGTCAACAAGATCATCTGCATTTTGTGTCACAGCTTTAGTACTAGTTCTTGTAATATTATGAATATCTGTATCCGTGACATCTTTATCACGTCTGACAAATTTGAATTTATGCAATAAATTTTTCTTGCTTTGAGAATCTGAACTTTTGTTAGCTGGTCGTGTGGATGCTTGTTCTTCATTTTGCCTCTCATCTTTAGTATTATTGCTAGAACCTTGTACAGAATGTATGGCTTTTTTATGATATCTGTTTTCTTTTTTGTTAAGAGATTCGCCAACTTTCATTACAGTATCAGGTGTATCTTCAAACATTGATTGGAAACATTTGTTCTTGTCCGATTCTGTTTTAAATGTATTTTTCATTTTAGGTGCATTGTTAATTTGCGGATTAAATAGCTCGTCATCTAGTGAACAATGAATTCCACTATCTTGTACATTACTACATTTATCAGTATATTTGGCAGGCTCGCTTGTATATTGTAAAGAATTATTTTTTGTTTTCCTGTTTATGTTGTCTTTTGTAGATACTACATTTTCCGCATTCCTATTTGGCACTTTTGTGTTAATTTTCTGTAAATCATCGTTTCCATTTTGAGATGGTTTTCGGTTTTCAATCGTTATTTGAGGATTTTCGTTGAAACTGTTAAGGACTTCACAATCACCATTTCGATTTCCATTATTAGAAACAGGAACTTCTTTGTAGTCATCTAATGTTCCTTCCACAACTTTATATGTAGTTTTCTTTGATTCATCACTTCTATGTTTGTGGAAAAATCTTGATTCAACTCGTTTACTGGACGCACTGTCACTCATATTGCTTATTTCTTTCTCCAATAACTCTAATAATTGCAGTTTTTCTAAAACATTGGTAAGGATTGTCTTATAATAAACATCAGGTCTTTCAGGAAATAAGCTGTTGGTGTTCACATTCAAACTTAGTATTGATGATTCATTTTCCATGGCTGTATCCACCAATACAATAGCATAAATACTATCAATTGCTTCGACCCTTTCGTGGCACATCAATCTTGCGTGGCCTTGGGATAATCTGAGATAAATAGGATAACTATGAAATTTTATTTTGAAGATATTTTTTCTGTAGGAAAAGAAGTATTATGATTAAAAATTACCTGATCAAGCTTTCTAACAAGCGTACAGTAGTTCTAGCTTTGTTTCTACCATCTAATCTTCTCTGTAACTGATAGTATGCGCTCAGTATATTTTCACTGTCCTCTGATAGTTTCGGGGTAATTTTTTTTATCCATGTTATATAACACTGAAAATTTAGAAACAAGTCACTTCCCATTTTATTTCATACTTTAATAGGTTACTATAAAATAGATTTCATTTGATCATAGAATAATAATTGTGTATAAATGCTAGGTTGATATGAACTATAATAACCTCTACATGAGTCGGTTCATAGTTTTGCTATATCAGAAAAAGCATTGCGAGGCCGCGGTTATACTTCGGGGTGGCAGGTGTCACATAGCGGATGGTACGCAACTGGCGACGCTGGAACAAGGGTTCATTTTGTTCAAAGATGAAACAAAACATTCCATCGAGCGCTGCGTCTGTAGAAAGGTCAATTAATTCAGTTGCATGTCTCTTCAAATCGCACAGGTAACTTTGGTCGTATCGTAATATGCTGCTACCGCTATTGCACCATCTTTGGTGGTAAGAAAATTAATCTAAAACCAGATCACCCCAAATTAGCCATACTTGCCCCAAAGTTACTGCTACGAGTCCAATTGACATTTGGTGGATATAAAAAGCTAATGCATGCCTATTACTCCTTATGATACGCCGTTGCCAATTTAAATATTAACGAGGCTGAGAGAGATCAGTCAAATGGGTGCATTTTGTCTCCAGAATCTATGTTCTTCTAGAATTATTCCTAATTTATTTAAATCTATAAACTATAATCTTTTTCACTGGCGTTGAATACATGCGAGAGACCTATAATTTGCTTTTGAATATAGGTGTTAGAGACTTCTTGCTGGACTGGCTAGTGTCTTTCCTGACAGACAGGGAACTTAATGTGAGTGACGCGCAGTCGGCTACCTATAAAATAAATATAGGTGAAGCTAACAGATCAGTATTGGTACCACTTTTTTTCATCCTGTTTAAAAACGACCTGAAGCTGTCAGGTTCAGTCGTGAACTATGTTGATGACACATCGGCCCTAGTAACTGCAGATTCGCCTGAAGATCTTTCTCTTAACATTGGTATCATAAAATCTGAGATGGAAGAGTGGTGCCAAACAAATCTGCTGATCTTGAATACTGACAAGACGGTTGTTGTTCACTTTTACTCTAGTACTCCACGTCTAATTAGCAGCACTATCTCAGGCTCTACGACCTTTCTGGGTATTGAGTTGGATGCAGGAATAAATTGGAAGCAACAAAGTGACAGTATACGAAGAAAACTGAATAGGTCCTACTATGCTATATTGAAATTTAAGCCAAATGTTCCCAGATCAACGGGGATAGAAAACTTCCCATCAAGGATTTATCGAAAACCACTGATTAACAGAATAAACACCGAGACACGACAAAAGATTTGTCAAGGGGACAACTTTTTGATCAAAAACTACTTCACCCCCTTTTACCCTCTGCCCCCCAGGGTCATCCCCTTAAAAATTTTAAATGACAAGGGGTATCGAGTAATAGCTTGTTTGAAAGGTCTTTCGAAGTCCTTTATTTTGAGATTTGATTTTTTTATTACGAAAATCTTTATCTTAATTTGTTCAGATAGGAAACATAAAAACCCGAAAATATCACTTTTTATTTCCATAAGTGTTCAAAATGTTGTCCGTTATTGGCCAAAACAATGATATAGGCGATATTACTCGATACCCCTTGTCATTTAAAATTTTTAAGGGGATGACCCTGGGGGGCAGAGGGTGAAAGGGGGTGAAGTAGTTTTTGGTTAAAAAGTTCTCCCCCTTGACAAATCTTTTGAGGTGTCTCGGCGTTTTTTTCTTGTGATCAGTGGTTTTAAAATGAAGACCCTGTATAAACCAATTATCTGCTTGCTTAGTGTATGTGCGTGCATGCGCGCATGCGTCATTTGTCCTTTTTCCACTAATTGTGTTTACTTTTTTAATCGCTACTTTTTCGAGAAATCTATGTGTATTTATACTTAAACATATTTTCAAATTTTGGTGATAATATAATATACTTATAGAGGTGTATCTGACGAGTTTTTTTATATATCTATGATCCGTCGTGTTAGACTAGACACTGATAAATTCAACCTTATAGCCTTATCCAACTACGTCATAGCAAACTATGCAAAACAGTACCACTTCTTTTTTTGGAGCACCCGCTCTTCAAAGTTAAGCGACACCCCCACTCACAGGAGCACTGATGCATTCGCCGCTATCCCCCCTCCCCGATCTTCAATTTTCAAACGCTGAACCGCCCCCCTCAGACAAACATTTTCCTGAACCACACCATCACTGCGCTTGCCCTAGACAGCTTCTTGAATCCGCCAATGTGTCTAAGCGCAAGGTAGTAAGACAATATAAGAGCGCGAAAATTGCGTTAATACCAATAGGTTAGTTGACACTTAGTTGACAAGTAGGACTTAACTGATATTTATGCTACTAGAAAAATACCTTAATATGTACTATATTTTTTCAGACCTAAAAGTCCGTAAAACTTTAAAAATATAATTTTCTTAGACAGACGAAAACGCTGTCCACCATGATTCGCCCATAACCCATATTAATGTGTTTTGATGTCATACCATTCGTAAACAACAGCTGTCAGTAGCATAACCTCTCAAACTTTTAAACATATACTAAGTGACATATAAATCCGAACACCCAGTTTAAATGGTTTTATTTTAATAAAATTTTGTATAAGTACTGAATGAAGCATAATAAGTAAATGATAAAAATTTAAAAATGATTGCACTGCTTTAAAGCCCTTTGACCTTTAATAATGTGTGGATGCACCCTGATATGCTACGCATTCTCCAACGCGCCTAGGCATGCTTCTGATCAGGTGGTCAATGCCCTCCTGTGGAATCTCATTCCAGGCAACCACCAACTCCTCTCGCAGTGCTTCTAGAGTCTGAGGAGGACGTTGCAAATTGAGCAATTTCCTACCCATCATATCCCACACGTGCTCAATTGGGGATAAGTCGGGAGGTCTTGGTGACCATGGTAACAATGTGACATCATTATGTTGAAAGAAGTCTATTGTGACTCTTGCAACATGTGGTCGGGCATTATCTTGTTCTAAAGTTGGATCTGCCAGGGTGTCAAGATAGGGTAAAAGATGGGGTTCTAGAACTTCTTGGATATAACGCTGCGCGTTCATGTTACCTCTGATGAAGATTAAAGGTGACCTGGAACCATAAGCTATAGCACCCCAAACCATAACTCCAACAGTGTGATGAACATGTCTTTCAACAAAAAACTGTGGATTCCTCCTTTCACCACGTCGCCTTCTAACCCTGGTACGACCATCGTGCATGCCTAAACAAAATCGAGACTCGTCACTAAAGACAATACTGTTCCATTCCTGATCCCAGAGTGACCGTTGTCTGCACCACTCAAGGCGATTACGTCGGTGTTCTCGAGTTAAAGGGAGGACCCAGTGTGGCCGGTATGAAAACAAGCCAAAACTTCTCATTCGTCGGTAAACACTTCGCATGCCAATAGGTCTTCCGTGTTCTGCAAACCATTCATTTGCAATGGACCTGGTAGTGGAGAAACGGTCCCTTAAGGCCAATAATCTTAGGCGGCGATCTTCACGGTCTGTTGTAACTACGGCGGCGTCCAGTGCCCCTTGCTCTTTGCGTACGGCCTTCTCGAAGCCATGCCTGACAACTCCTAACCACAGTGTCTACACTTCTTTGCACTCTAACTGCAATTGCCCGAAAAGAAAGTCCAGCTTCCCGAAGTCCCACTATACGGCCCCTATCAAACTCACTAAGTTGACGAAATCGTACAGGTCTCCGTACTCTAGGCATCGTAACCGATCGTAAAGGATGTCAAGAACCAAAATCCGCCAACGTTGATTCTTTACTGCGGCTGAAATATTCATTTTTAGAGCGTTAGTGAATTAAAAAAAACAGTATAAAAACCGGAATGTCCAACCGATAAGGCTGAAAATTTTTTCACTTGTTATTTACAGTAAGATAAATACATTCACTAACTTTTATTAAAATAAAACCATTTAAACTGGGTGTTCGGATTTATATGTCACTTGGTATGGGGGTTAGATGGTAGAATAGATATATAATCTAAATCTCGCCTCCTGTAAGAATATTACAAATAAAAGACGTTAATTATTATTATTATTAGTATATAAACATGACTTCTATAGTAAGTTGTAGTCACCAAGTAACCCTTTATATATCTTCATCTTCCTCATACATACACATGCAACCTACCCCTGTGTGTGAACGTTTGTTCGGTAAGCTCAGACATACGTTTTTTAGTTGTGTGTCTCCGTCTCGAAAACTTTGTGGTAACGTATGAGTGCCCTTCAATCATATTCGTCAAAGTGAAAACTTACTTGGCATCGGCGTGCAATTCGAGTTGTCCTGTTATCAATCTTCAATATAAAATTGTACAATGCCCGTAAATACAATCAATAGAGAAGGCCGGCAGCACGTGCTAAATTTATTAGAGTATTTCCAGGAAGAGACTGAAAACAGCGGTCCCCTGTTACATGCGTTCTGAAGCGAGTAGCAGATGTGCTGAAGATTAAGATCCGTCCATGGTACGGAGACTCGACCTGTTTACTTATTTTACGTAACCGCCAAGAACCGTGACTACGACTATACTAATTTACATGAATATACGCAACACTGTATATTGTGTATATCATACCTTATGTTCGTCACATTTTTTCATATTTTACTGTGCATGTAATTTTATCGTCTCGCTTAAGTTGGATGTAGCCTACGGCATCATCACCGTGATTCTCTTGCAGATATGGAAGAAGAAATACATTATATAAAAGTATTAAGTGGTTATGACGCATGAGCTTAGTTTTGAATGACTTCTGAAAAGGAAAATTATGTAAATGTATTACTTATTCTTTCTTTTAATGTCTATCATTATATCAGATGCACTGTACTTACTTAGAAGTCAGAGCAGAAATGTGGGTTGAAGGCAAAAAAATTACCAACCATCAATGTATCAATTTTTGGCAAATATGTGCTTTCTGCTTTGACAAATCCCACATCCAATAAAACGAGAAAACGATAACCTTTTCTGTTGATTAGGCGTTTTTTTAGAGATACTAAAAAAAGACAACTTTGGTCCACGTATGACACACGAATGACGTTACTTTGTTTACATTTTGTATGACGTCACATCATGATAGTGTCACCCTTTCGTATTAAAAATATTTTTTTAAATTGCACCTATACAGGGTGTAAAGTTAGTAGTGGATCAACGGAAGTTAGGTGATAGAGGGCATCAAAACCAATGAACCCCTATATGTGTTGTCCGAAATTTTATACTTCCGGAGATATTTGCAATTTTGGGAAAACGGGATAATGAACTTTCAATTGCAATTGAAACTAAACAATTAGGCTTATTGGCAATCCTGTCGGCAGTATTCGCAGTGGGAATATTAAAAATTCTCTGTTCAGTCTGCAGCTCGCAGCCGAGACACCATGAAAAGTATAAATGGTACCGCCACCGGTAAAGAGTCGCACAGTGGTCTAGTACACTGAAAACCTAGCAAAAATCGCATATTTCAAATCTGAGATCAGTTTGTATCTATGAAGGCAGTTGAAGTTCACTTTCAAGGTCATATCTAGGACATTTTCAAGAGAAGCCGAGAAGTAATCTCGAGCGCATGCCATTTAGTTTTTTCTGGTTAGGTACTAAGTCCGAATCAGAGATCAGTTAGTCACTATAAAGGCATCTGAAGGCTATTACAAGGTCACTTCAATGGCAAATTCAAGATAAGTCCAGTATTCGAGTCCAGACGCGTGTCATAGGTTTCCGCGGTCGCTGGGTCCGAAACAGATATCATTTTGACATATTCTAAAAACTTGAATAGCGGTTTAGGACTACCAGCTATAATATGGCAGTATATAAGGTTATATTGTTTGCTAAAGTCAGCAAAAACCAACACTGGACTTCATCTGGCAATATTTGAGATATTTAGCTAAAAGCTAAAAATAGCAATCCGTTCAACTCACGGTGCATATGAAAACAACAGTAATGACAGATTGCTGTTCCATTAAATGAAGGTTTTTACTCTAGTTATTTTGGTCCATATTCACATGCTCAAATATTTTCAACACACAATACAACGAATTATACAGAAGCTCGCCAATGTTGTTATTAAAAAGTTGTGTCGAATGAAACACCAAATACTTAAACTGCCATGGTAAGGTTTTAATTTCGTGGCCAACTCATTGATCAAGGCATTAGCTTTAAAAGATTTAATAATTTTTGTTCATTTTCAATACGTTGTTTTTTCAATTTTTGACACTGTGTGTCGCCTAAAAACCTGCTACCCGTCGCCAACACCTCGAAATATAACCCTGGCCTAACGGTACTGTTGACAGGCAGTACAATAACATACAGGTGAGAAAATTTTAAAGTTGGATATTCTTATATTGAGACAAAAATTGTATGAGCATTCTAATATAGGATGTATGTGTAATATAATTAAGGACATAATGAGATCCTGAATGTAAAACTTTTATCCAAAAAAATATCCCTTTCATTATCCATTATCAACTCTCCAGTTTTGACAATACCTTACATTACCTGTATATCAACAAGCTGCGACTTTGAAAAGGTTGATTTTTAATGCGTGTAACCATTATATGTAAAGCAAAGCAGTAATATTTTCCGCTACTAGCAAAAATATTTACCTGTAGCATTTCGATAGTCCATAGATTATTGTTCAACAACTTGGACTTGCTATGTCCTTCATTCAGTATATAATCAGCGACTTTACTATCCCACTCTTCATTTACGCTGTCTTTAAGTAACATTACTAGATCAAATCTGCTTAGCAATGGACTTGGTAAAGCCACATTTAACGATAATGGTTGTGAGATGTCTAAATTTCCCTTCGGATTGCATGCCGCCAAAATAGAACATCTAGTGTTAAGCTTACAAACTATACTGGCCTGTAAAATATAAAATACTACCATCTAGTACTATACATATATTAGAAAATAAAAGAACAATTTTTCAAGTGGAATGTCTTATATTTTATTGCATATTCGCACCATTCCATTCCAAAAGAAGAATTATTGATAAAATGCACTATACGGCTTTAATGATTAGTTGTAGTCAGGGCTATTTTGAAAGATATATATATAGCTTTATATTCCATTTAATGGAGTCTCTTCAGATGATACAATTTCGCCATCTTAAAATTTTCAACATTTTTTTTAGAACACTAACTAGCGTTTACGAGGTCTGTAAATTAAGTGATGAGACTGTTTTTTTTTAATTTTCTACTCAAATATAATAATTTGGTCGCTTGACAATTATCTTCGTAGGCCTGTTTAGCGAGAGTTTTCATAAAACTGAGTCCAAGCCTAAAGCAAAACCTGATACCACACCGTTGCTTGAACTTGATGTCACCCATTTTTAGAACTCAATAGAAAAAATATTTCACAAACAAAAATCGCTACGAACACCCAAATACTCAAGCGAGTTCAAACTTGTGCTGAAAGCGGATCACATGTTCCTCTGTCTCCTGTTCTAGCCCAGCGCCTCCAGTTTTGCAAGATCGAACGCCTTGCTAATCTCATCACTTAATTTACAGACCTCGTATATATGAGTGGGTTCGTTTGACCAACGTAAATCAGCCCAGCTGTGCAGCGCTTCATGCTGGATAGCAATAGCCATGGAGTAGGTGTGAGAGCATGGCAGAAGAGGCAGAAGGTTAAACCTGTGGTTAAACTACGTAAGGGATGCAAGTACACCCTATTTCAGGAGAATCAATCACGCTTTGACGTCTACTGAGGTGAACAGCTGATCGGCAATTGACATTTTTGTGTTAGTCTGCAACGTTGACAATACTGAATTGGGTGTAAATCTAGTAAAACTTGATTGTAGCGTTTTGTTTTTTGTATGCAAATTAACTTTTCGAAATAAAAAGAGCTATTAGCAAGTACAAAATCCTTTGCCGATCTGGGGAATTTTGAAATATTACTAGATAATCAGCTGTCATTCTACCGTAATGGATACAGGTGAAAAAAACGTATATTCGTGTGAAGGCAAACCTGGATCAAGTGGCTCTCGGAAATGTAGTGGGCGTAGGACATGGCATAGAGCGTTTGCGTTTGTATTACTTCATGGTTTATATATTTTATCACTATTTCATCTTGCAACGCATCCGAACTGTCAAAATTTGAGTTGTTTACAGTCATGATGATGCAATGATAACTTCATTCGCAGGTGATACCTCAATTGTAGCTTCTGGTTTTTCAGAGGAACAGTTACAAGATAATATAGATGTTTCATTGTCTAGGCTGCATAATTGGTTTTCAAATAATAATGTATATTCAAATCTAAGCAAGACACAATGTATTAAATTTCACACAAGGCAAAAAAAATGCAACGAACTCAGTTTTAAATATTAAATAGTATTCATATCAATAATGTGACATATATAAAATTCCTTGGTGTGTATTTGGATTTTTATATGGAGTGGAAGCAGCACTGTGACTATGTAATAACGAGGCTTAATTCATTATATTATCTATTATTAAATTCAAGAGATATTCTGCTATTAAATCAATTAATTAGTTTGTATCATGCACAGGTTGACTCTGTCATAAGATATGGCATATCATGGGGGATCTCTACTAATCCAAAAGATGTGTTCATTAAACAGAAAAGAATTATCAGTTGTATAGTAGGTGTTAGTGCTAGAACATCATGTTTAAGAGATTCAGAGTACTAACACTTACTGGTTTATATATATATATATATATATATATATATATATATATATATATATATATATATCTTGTTTATACATATTTAAAAATAGAGAAAAATACCCAACACACGGCCAAATGCATTCAATTAATACGAGAATTAGTCAAAACTTTTATATACCACCCTACAGATTTCAAATTATTTATATGTAAGTCCCTAAATATTAATGGCCTAAACATGTTTAACGTACTTCCTTTGGAAATGAAGAATTGCCACAATAAAGACAATTAAGAATCTCTTAAAATTCTTTAATTGAAAATAGAATTTATAGTGTGGAAAAATATTGTGATATTTTCCGTTAAATCTTATTTTTTACTATTTGACTGTTTTTTGTTAGATATAGGTTCTTTTAGATTTGAAAATGTATGACAATTCCTGTACAATGTTTTTTCGTCAACATTGAATAAATAATAAATAAATAAATGATGAGAAATGCAAAACTTGAAATTCATTTCTTGCGCAGTGTACCAGGTCACACTTCATTGTCGACAAATTTTGCCTCAACCCCACTCCTCTAATCTCTAGTCTTAATCTTTGAGAGTTTGCTATATTAACCGACATACTATCACATATGTCAGCCAAGGGAAAAATTGATGCCATACCAACAAAGTTATCCCATGGCTACTGCTATTCAGCATAAAAGCGCTGCACCGCTGGACCGTTTTACGTTGGCTGAACAATCTCAACGTCATCATCCCAAATTTAAACTTGTTGACTTAATCCGAAAAGCAACTGTATAATGGTTACTAATATCTCACTTTTGCGACGCTGATGCTTTGTTGTTCCATTGCCTCATGTATACTCGTTCGATCTTGCTCTCTCATTGAGTTGAATTCGTCTATGCAACATATTCCACCGTCTGCCATTACTAAAGCTCCAGCTTCGAGTTGCCATTCTCCTTGTTCCTGTTTTGCAATAGACAAAATACTTATTACTTTTAGATGATAAAGGGGATCTCAGAGAAGATTACAATTTCAAAATTAAATTAATGAAATACATTTTAGTAAAATGTTTTTATTGAAAATGAAGTACCAGATGTGCGAATTTTATTTATTTATCGTTTTTATTACGTCATGATGATGTCCATTACATTTGACGCATTCATCCAATATGTTCAAGCGCTCAGGCACAGCGGGTTCAATTTTGCTTATTTCGCGACATATATTTTTACTTCCCACGTCAACTGTATTCGGGAAAAACTAAAAAAAAACCTATATAATGTCAAAAAACCGACAAAATGTCAACTTGCTTGCTAGCTGAAAGCGACAGCCATAACGTCACTTATGGAGGAATGATCCAACGACATGCTCAACGACCATGCTGCAAGTCAGTTCGCCAGCATGCTTTGTTGATTGCAGAATGCCGAGATAGTCTGTAGAGTGCATCTCTGAGAAGATGTGGCAGAAAAAAATTAGTTGAGTAGCAAAGTATATATAGAATCAGTGACATTTGCTATGGGAGAAAATTATTACTAAATATGCTGACCATGAAGTATATCTATTACATGTACCAGACAGGTTATTTATGTGTTGTCCTTTGTGAAGAGAAGTTATGTTCAAAGTTATAAATTATGATTTTACCCGGTCTTCTGCGACTTCAAAAACATTGAGAAGCATTACGAGAAATCACCACCGGGCCCGCGCTGTGTGTAATCACTTTTAGCATGTATATGACTTGTAGATCGAACACATTTTTGACAACCGCGGATTTTCTTTTTTATCCCTATTGGGTATTGAATTCCGCAAATATGCATATCGTCGTTATTTTGACGAAAACTCCTAAGCAGCAAAAACAGAATGACAAAAACTCCTTTAAAGTTAAAAAAATCATTTAGCTTCCATTCACACCAACAGTTAGTAAACCGTTACAGAATTACTTGAGTTTCTTGTTAGGAAACTTTTGTACATCAGATCACGCAGCTCATATTTGACTATACATATATTCAGAAAGCTCCGATGTGATAGGAGGTTTTGTCAAAACAACGACGATATGTAATTTCCAGTTTGAATAAGAGAAAGTCTTACATCACATCAGGGCCAAACCATTATAGCTCAAGCATCATGGCATTTAGGCAACACGTACAGCTCAACAACAAGCGCACATCAGGTGAATAACAGCTAGTTCCAAGTTGGCATCTTACAGGAAAACCTACATATGCTACAAAAAACCTATACAGCGTGTTTTCAAAGTTAAATCATTTTAACAGCTTGTGGAACTCGTCAAAAGAAGTTGATATGCCAAAAATCACTTGTATAAAATGCATGATAAGACAGTTAGTTCACATTATCAAAAATTATTTAAAAAAATCATTATCAAGTTAAGTTACGGCAGTGGTCGAGAATATCAAAAAATCTGTGTAATAACATTCTTATTTTTTAAATTTTCAATATTTTACTATTTCTCTTATTATGCAACATTTATACAGGTGATTTATGGTACATCAACTCCGTTTGACGAGTCCTACAAGCAGTTAAAATAAATGACTGAACCTTGAAAACACCCTGTATAATGTCAAAAAAACTGAAAATGTCACTTTTCAAAATACGTAATACCCGTGCCGAACCGTGGGCTGTTCTATAACTTGGAACGTACCGCTCTGATGTTTTGAAATCAGGTTACCGCTATGGCAGGGACGAAAAAGCTAAACTTTTTGAAAATCAAAAAAAAAAACGAAAAAAGTAATCGCTGAAATTGTTTTTTTTTGCGTTTTAGAGACTCTTGCTCATTTTAAGAATTCCCCCAAAGGGTGAGAAAGTTTTAGATGATGGAGAAGTTGCAAGGGGAGAAAAAGGTATATCTCATTTTTTTGGCGTTAGTATATTCATACGCTTCCAACCCCGGTAGTTCTACACACCCATTAGACTGATCTCAACACAGATTTACCCATACGTTCAACCTTAGGACATCGCAAAGCTGTCAGATAGTCGGTACTCTCGACAGGGCAGAAAAAACTGTCTCGATACAATGGGTGGCGACTGTGGTCTAATCGCGTACTTGTTCGTAGTTACTTTCTTTCTCAGAGGGGCTAAATTTGCCGAATGGCGTAATCTGTAAAAAATAAAATTTGCACATCCACTGCATCATTTTCAATAAAATCAGATTTCTTTAAATTTATAGTATTTCATTAAAATAATTTGGATACCCTAAGTGTTCCCTGTATTGCCAGGTGACCAGAATGCGATACAATAAAATGTTAAGCTAGTATTTTCTATTGCAAATACAATCAATTCCGATTCATTTTTAAGTTTCTAGCATAATTCTGCAGTGGCGAAGCGTCCATGTAACCATTGTTACCATTGGTAACAGTTAACAATCTTAAAAATAAATATTTTATGACTATGTACTGTGAAATAAGTCCATTTATTTGTTTACCAACAGCAATATGTAATAGTAATTTAGTACATAGCAAATTAGCCCCACGAAAATAATGCAGCCGTATAGTGTCTAGGTTTTGCGAACACGATGAAGCTGACTCGCCTCGACTTGGTTATCGGTTGTTACCATTTTCATTTATGGTTACAATTCGTAGTCCATCGGAGACCGTCGGTACCGGCTCGTGGATTAACTACTTGAAAAGTCATTCTCCTTGTATAATTTTTAAGAAAAAAAGGATATCAGTGAAAATGGAAGACCAACACCTATTTTAGATAATTTTAAAAAGGAATAAAAAACGTAGTTTGATATTTTAAATTAAGTTGGTATATGTGGTTGCAAAAAAACAAATTGTTTTGTTGGCGATGTCTTCTGTTTTATACAGAAAAAAATGGGTGGACCAGCAGCGGAGTCAACGATTTAAATAGTTTTAGGGCGCTAAAGAGGAGACTAGAAATTTCTCCGTTAGATGTGAGATGTGTAGCCAATTTAATTCAGTTTGGCAAAAACAAGAATCGAAAGTTGTCTTAACCAAGCTTTTAGGCAGCACACTTCTAGATACCGTATGTTTTTGGCAAAACAGGAATTACCGTTCATTTTGAAGGGGATGACTCTGACAATAGAGGAAATTACAGGGAATTGTTAACATTCATTGCCAGGAAAGATGAAAAATTTTCCGAACATCTAGAAAGGTCGACTGTTTTTTCGGACGGCTTGGATTAGTCATAGCATAAGACGATGAGGTATATCAAGTGCCCCAGACGCTCAGTCCAGGAATGTTTACCTTAATTTAAAAATAGTTTAAATGAAATACCAAAATAAGCATAAACTTATATTTGGGAGGTTCAAGATAAACTTTTTTAATAAGACTTTTCATATCTGGTTTTGGTAACAGTTTAGGAAGTCACGCGTCGCCACTGTAATCCTGACTAACATCTCAATCAAAAGTCATCTGTTGTCAATGATAAGCTGAATTGCTACCAGAATTAAGTTGGCGACATAGGCGTGTTGAAAAACTGGCAGGATGAAAGTAATCATAACAGAAAACTCTGGAGAAAGAGGAAAGAAACCATTCCAATAACAATCCCTGGGAGTGGAAACCAGGTTGAAGTATAAAGGACAAACTTGTGAATTTGGTTCAAGAAACAAAGTATCAGAAAACCATACCCTACTCTCACCTTTTCTTGAAACAACCCTTCGAGAATTAAATAATGTAATAAACACATTCTAATCATCGAAAGTACCAGGGCCAGATGGTATTCAAATACATGCTATAAAACATGGAGGGGCTACAGTAAAAGCTCAACTGGTGCATCTTATAAATTGGATTATTAGTACTAGATATTTTCCTCGGCGTTGGAAATTGGCTGAAATGATTTGCTTTATGAAGCTAGTAAAGATACCAGAATCATAGAGGAAAATCCCTTCACTCAATATAAATATAAATTATAATAAAACTGCCGAAAAATGTATACTCCAATCATGCCTAGTATCAGTAAAATTATTCCAAAATGTCAGCATGATTTCACCAAAGACAAGGGAACACAACACACATTACAGATGCACTTACACAACGACATAACGTAGCAGTAGTTACTACCGACCTCTCAAAAGCCTTTGACTACTACTCATAGTACTCTTATTTATAAGTTACAACAAACAGATATCCATAATAATGTTATACAAATTATAGAAAACTATTTGCTTATCCGACAAATACGCCGCAAAAACAATCCTTGGACCCGGACCCTACCTGTGGAACCTATACGTTGCTGATCTGCCGTTAGAAAACATTGTACGACAAACGATGCCATAGTACGCAGATGATTTGTGCGTGCTAAATGAATCCAAACAGCAAAACACAGCCATCATTAGAGCAAAGTGTACAATGAAAGAAATATTTGAGTACTATGATCGGTGGTGGCTTACTTGTACTAAGCAGAAAACCAAGTGTATTGTATTTGGACGAGCACGAACATAACATAACGAACATAACCTCACACGTTTGGGGTGCTGCCACCCCGACTACATTATTTATGCTCCAAGATGTCCAGAGGAAGGCTGTCCGACTGATCGATGACAGTCTCGGGACCCTTTCGCACCGGCGGGCCGTCGGCGATCTAGCTATCTTCTACCGCTATCAATGGGCTTTGCTTCTCAGAGCTCTCCTCCATGATGCCGCCGCGCGATGTGCCTGCCAGACAAACCCGCCTGACTTTGGCATCCCGTGTGGAACTTCGTACATCCTGAACTGGCCGATATGACCGATCCTTTGTCCCGAGGGTGTCGAGATTGTGGAAAAATCTACAAGAGGAGGCTTTTCCCAGTTCTAATAACCTTAAGCAATTCAAAAATCGGATTAACAAAATTTCTTTGGAATCTTCGTAGCAGCCGCGGTGCACTGGTATTTAGGCTTTTGCCTGTGCGGCTGCTCCGGTATAAAAAAGATCAAGTTTAGGAATAAGTAGTGAAGAGTCGTAACCCCCGTCGTCGATCAAATACCACACCTTGGGCTAAATCTTAATAACAGTAAGCACAGATGGCCTCATTAAAGGTAGAATGCTTAAGGCTTATCGAGCAGCTTACGCTCGCCTCCAATCTTTGGCTTCAGATCGAATATTTCTATAGAAGTAATGTTGAAAATAAAATTGCAGCATGCATTTATTCGGTATTAATATACAGTCGTATTGGTGTGTTCCCATGCATAAGTAAAAGTGGCATTCTTAAATTAGAGAGAGCCTTAAGATATATGAAAGAGCTAAGCAGATCCCCTACTGCATCTAAAATAACATACTTTGGGAGATGTTACAAAAGGACAATGTGGCGACCCGCCTGGATCAGACGCACAAGAAATTTCATGAAAACACCGAGGAAGACAAATCAATGAAGCCGATTTTGACCAAAGTAGATAATCCTATCAGTCATCCATGTCAAATCCAAAATTCAAGCGTCCCCTATCCTCCTCCTCGTATTTCACCACTTTCCTAAGAAGTACATATTTTGAATGTATACAGAAGCAATGTATCTTTGTTTATTATTGTTTATATATAAGCCAAAGGCATCTTATGTAACATAATCTAAATAAAATAAAGGTTTTAAATTTGTAAATTGTTTCCTTTAAATAATATGGAAGTACGATTGAACCCAATATTTCGCTGGTATGTGCCCAATTTATTGCTGATAACAGGTATTTATGACCATGACATAAACTACATTTATGGGAACTGATAAGTGTTGAAAGATTTGAGATAATTATTGAAAATTTGCCGGAAGCTTGCGTTACCCAGATTCTGTCTTTGAGAAGCTTTATAAAATATTTAAACGCACTACCCCACTTCGTGCTTGCCCATTGTTCTAATGTTTGCAAGTAATTCTTTTTACTAGTGATGATATGTAAACTTCGCTTACCATCATTGCTGTAACAGTTAGACCAGCTGCAGTGGATCCGATACCAGTTGTTAGTACAGATCTGGTTACAATTTTCGATGCGAATCGTAATAACTGCGACTTTCCAGTACCAGGATCACCTACTAGCAATAAATGAGCTTCAGATCTGGTCCGGATACCAGTGTGACTACTTGTGACTGCTTGACAACCGCCTGCCAGTACCACTGCTATCGCCAGTTTGACTAGATAAAGACCGTATAACTAAAAAAACAGTTATTGAAATAACCTTTTTTTTTTTAAAATATAGCAAAACTAACCTGTGGACACAGGGACTTCAAAATAATATCTCTGCCTTCTAACGGGTTGGCGGAGTAGTTCTTCCAATGATTATCAAAAAATTCCTTAATTTCTGGGGATGATGAAGCTGAACTAGTAGTGATATTGTCTACCTGAACATGGTTCGCTTTCATGGCTAGGGATATCGAAATTTTCTTGCCCTTGTCAAATTCACCCCATCTTCTTTTTAGAATTCCACTGATTTAAAAAATTAGCGATTACTAGTTATACAATTATATTTTTCAACATGTCCTGTGAGACTATTTCTGGATTCACAGGAAACGCGATCTATCCGATACAATTAGTAGCCCTGAGTTCGAAACTGCAAAAGGCGACTGAACGCTTAACACATGACATTTTTGCTCCTTTATAATGAAAGACTATGTGACTATCTACGCGCATATGCTCAAACCCAAAATGTCTTCATTCAGTTATAGGATTTAAATTCAGTGTCCGTGGCGGTCATGACAGCAACAATTATATTAGGTAATTTTTAATTTTTAGAAATCTGAGCAGTATGGAGCCGTTTACTACCTCCAACAAAAAATGAAGATCTAAGGGATGTTTCTACAATTATAAGAGGAAACATAAGTTCACAATAGGGGACCGCTGATGCTGACACAGAAGAGATGAAATCTAGAAATACCCCACCTTCCTGAAGAAGAGACATGGTGTGTAAGTCAAGGAGTCCATAAAGGCGTCCTACAATAATTGTAGCAACGACTGACGATACGGCACTAAGTGCATATAACATGACTATCTTACAAATGAGGTTCATTTGTAATAGACAATACTGAAAAGTATATAAAAAACAAATGTTCCAAAAATGTAATGTCCACAGTGAAAGACATATACCTAGATGTTAGAAGACTCTTAAATATTTGGAAAACAAAACTTTTGAAAATACCTTAAAAACATTAACCTCGATGCATCACCCACAACAAAATTGTCCAAGCTCAGAACTGTTTTTGCAAAGCGTTAATTTCTTAGAAAAAGTAAATCAATTTTAAGAATAAAGATACCTTTGAAAACCACAAATACCAAAGTTGGAACTTTCCTTTACACGGTCGATAGATCTCGGAAAAAATAAGCGGTTTTTCCTAGTAGCATACATACCAAAGTCTTAAGATAACCGAACTATTAGGCTCCGAAAAACAATCAAACCTAAACCTAATCCGCTGTTGTATCTCTATCAGATCAAAAGTGAGAAGGCGTTAGGACTCAACCCAGGCACCGGCAGCGAAGGTAAATGAAACATCTATTTACCAATCGGTTAGAAAAAACCAAAATGGGCACACTCGTACAGCAATATTGAACTTGTGGACATGATTTTATTCTAAGGTGTCTCCAAAATGCTACCGAGGCTTCGCGAGTGTATGCAGACTGCTTTCCTAGGCGTTATCATTCAGAGCCGCGTAGATTTGCTTATCTTGTGTAAAGAGCTAAGGATACACGTCGTTTGTAGCAATATCGAGGTAGCAACAGTGGGAGACCTAGACAACCCCGAATGATGCAAAGTGAGGAAGGAGTATTGAATCTTCTAGAAGAAAATCCTTGAACGGCACTAGGGAAGTGGCTAGACAAGTGCAAGTCTCGAAGACCAAAGTGTGGGAAACGTTGCGTGATGATGGATTGTACCCTTTGAAGCTTTTACCTCAATGTGCGTTTTTGTGAGTGGTTGTTGCACATGACAATAGCCCGGGGCGAAGTTGAAGTTCACGTCACGGACGAATCAACATTTACGAGTAACGAGGTGAATTACTTCCGAAATACTCATGTGTGATTATAGGTAAATGCCTCACGTAGTCCGTCGGTTACATTTTCAACAAATCTCTTTGATTGTTTGGGCTGGCATGGTAAATGGTATGGTTATTGACCCTTTTAAAAATAAAAGCCCCGAATCGGCTGGACGGTTTATAATACCTAGACTTTTTACGGAACATTTTACGAACAGCAACAACTTCAGTACTTATAAGTGACAGAGCCGAACTTGGAATTTCTCTGCAAATGAAGGTGAGTACTTTTCCATTTATTTTTTCACGTTATCGCTACTGTTTTACCACACATTAGCCTTGTTATTTCAAGCGTAGTTGTTACTGATACTACTAGGGTACAAAAATACATCCAAAACTATTGTCATAAAACATGTTGTTTATACTGCATATACAGGGCGGACCAGAAAGACGTACGAATTTCAAAACCGCATTGCTCGTGACAAGTATCGTTTCATCGGTGAGCAGCGTGCGTTCTGTGTTAAGGCTTATTACACTACTGCGCGGCGTCTGTTTCGTTCTGAGTTTAGTTTATATGATCTAAATCAATGCTCTAGTGAAAGTGTTATCAGGACGTGGGTCGTAACGTTCGAGTCTACCGGTTCGACATTGAACAGAAACCTGCGGGGCGTCCAAGGTCAATACGAACAGAGGACACTCTAAGCAAATTTGCGACGTCCCGAAAGAGTTCAGCTGAGCTTGCCATATCAAAAACATCTGTAAGGCGTATATTTTGGTAAGCTACCTTAAATGGCACCCATATAAACGTCAACTAGTGCAGGAATGAAAACCGCAGGGCCACCATCTACGCTGTGCGTTTGCCGAAACAATGATAGAGCGCTTTCCAAGTTTGAACAATACTCTCTTCTCTGATGAAGCTCGATTTTATTTGAGTGGATTTGTCAACAAGCAAAATTACCAGTATCGGGCCGCAGAAAATTCCAAATTAAAATACCAACGACCTTTGCATTCGCGTTCATGTTACAGTTTGGGCGGCCATGTGGGCCCTCCGAGGCGACTCTCCGTGGCCTCCTCAGAGCCCAGATATCACTCTACTGGATTTTTTCTTCGGGGATACCTTACGCCAATAAACCGTCGACGATTGCCCAGCTCAAGCACAACATTTCCTAGGAGATGTCCGCTATCCCACGAGCCATGTGCCAGCGAGTTTTCACGAATTTGAAATCGAGATTCGAGAAGTGCGTATGTCTCAATGGCTCACATCTCAATGATGTTATTTTTTAAAAATATAATTCCGATGTGTCTACTTTATTAAAAATATAAACTATCTTCCCTACGCTTTGTAGTTTCTTTCTTTGATTTTTTAAAATCCGCTCAACTTAATGGCCCACCCTGTATTATATCTGATATTGGAGATATATGGGTAATGAACCATATTGCAACGACATCTGTTAGCGCGGTGTGACGCGCGCGGAGATCAACACGGAACTGGCTGACCAAAGTTGTAGTACCCGGTACCCGGAATACACCAGAACTATTAATAGCAACGACGAATGTGTCGTCATTGATCAAGAGGGTACTTCCGTGGTGCTCCCGACAGATGGAGTCACCACAGTTTGGTTATTGGCAAGATTTAGTTGAAACTCAGTTAAAATGTTAAATTAAGTTAAAAAATATTAAGTCGATTAGGAATCTAGAGAGTTCACAGACATTCTTTCTATAAAACTATTATATATATCTTGTCAGATCTCATTTAGAAGGGTCTACTGTGTGTGGAACCCCTACTAGCAAGTCCACATTGATAAATTGAAAATTTATTAAAGATTTTAAAATAAACATTCTCAATGACTGCATCAATTATAAGGATATGGAATCTGACCAAAAACTCAACAGTCTGGTCAAGCGTAGAAAAAATTTTGACATATTTTTGTGTCAAAAACTTATTACCGGACTATTAAATAGTCTCGAACTCTTGGGCATGATAGATTTTAATGTTCCTCCTAGGACCCTAAGAGGCCAGAAGTCATTCAAACTTGTTCAATATCGCACCCTATACGGTCAACACTCGCCCCTAAATAATATGTTGAAAAATGCAAACAAATTTCAGGGCCATATTTTATATATATCCCATGATTCCCTGAAACAAACCTTAAAAAATTTTACCTAAATTTTTATATACGTTACTTCTGATTTGATTGTACTTTATTATTAATAGTTTGACTGTGTTAAATTTTATTTATGTGGACATTAATTTTAAACTCGTTTTATTAATATTTAGTAAATTTAATTAGCTGTTATTAATCTAGATTGAATAAAATTGTAAAATTGGGCTTGTCCCGAGAATGTATGAATAAATAAATAAATAATGGACATGAAGTTCTGGTTTCAACATAAATAAAGATCTCATAAACGACTTTAAACTCTACAGGGTGTTTCAAATTCGATCCTCACCCTGGGGATGTCGGAAACGGTAACAGATATGAAGTCACTTAAATGGAGGCAAAGTTGCCTATTTAGGTCACTAACAAAATGCCGTTTAGAGATTCAAAAAATACTTCGGAAGAGAGACGGATTAAGCCGAATTTTCCCAAAATTCATAATTTTTTCTTGACTTTATTTATAGTGAGATTCCAAATTAAAATGCTCGTTAACATTTCCTCTTTTCCTCCTCTTTAAGATGGCATAATTAGAATTTCAATATGGCCTTCTATCTCTTGTCCTCCAGCATTCAACTTTATTTTTCTTATGGACGAATATTGCTCAGATGAATAGAGTTTTTAATTCTCATTCCAAAAATGTATAATAAGTTGTACATTGACATTGTCAAACATTCGTTATTTCAAAAAAACAATATTTCCTAGGTAGGCCTTGAAATTATCACATTATCAGATAGTAATTTGTTTCATATACCAGAATAGGCCTCAAATTGAAAATAGTAACAGAGTTTGGAAGTTGGAAGACTGACAACAGGAGAAATAAATCGAACAGTGAACAATATACAGAGAAGAGTCAGGCTGTACCTACAATCTGACGCACACTTTCAACATCTGCTATGATATACCTCTGCTTATTTATGATTATTACGGTTATTACCATCAATAAAAGTTTCATTTTGTATTCAGGATTCACCATACTTTTTTATTTTCTTACAATTTTCATCCAATAACAAATTCATGGCCAACTAAGGAAATACATAACTGAATTTAGGACTGAAGAGTCATGATTAAAATTCCAATATAGCGTTCATATAAAAAAACAAAGTTGGTGATGCAAGTCGAAAGAGGAAATTTCGAATGGAAAATATGACTACGCCATCTTGTAGAGGAAAATGAGTAACAATGACTATATGCAATTTATTTTGAAATCCCATCTCAAATAAGGTCAGGAAAGAAAGTGATTTTGGGATAAATATCGTATGGGGAACAAGTGTCTACGTGATAATTTCAAGGCCTACCTACGAAATACTGTTTTTTTTAAACTGACGTTTCACAATGTCAATGACGTATCGTACATCTATTTATCTGTACAAAAATCCAATATAGCGTCCATAATAAAAACTAAATTTGTACCTTGTAGAGTATAAAATTGGCAATGTCAATGTGCAATTTATTTTGAAATCCCGCTACAAATAAGGTCAGTAAAAAAATTAAAAAGATTTTTCTTTTACGTTTTTTTTTCGTCTCTCTATGGAAGTATTTTGAATTTTGAAACTTCCTAAGCATTGTTTTGTTGATTGCCTAAATATGTAACTTTGTCCTTATTTAAGCGATTTCGTATCTCTTACAGTTTCCTAGATCCCAATGGCGAGGGTTGAATTTGAAACATCCTATATACAGTGCTTTTCTTTAATGTCCCGCTCCCCTTTGATTTTTTGAACGGGTCAATTCAAAAAATTAATACTTGAGGTAATGAAATTGATGCGAGGATACCATATTTTAGAGTAAAATTGACAGATGAAAATGTCAAGATGGCCGCTGGGCGCCATCTTAGAAAAAAAAAATTATATGAAAACGGGGGTCTTGTGGCACAACATTTTCAAGCTCCTGACGAGTACTTTATAACCTTAGAATATAAAGTCAATACCTTTACCTACTACAAAATGGTGGTACATTTAATAATTACCTGAATACATTGACATTTAACTTGATAGTTCGAATAAATACGTTGAGTTCAGTTTAGAAGATGCTGGAAATGGTTGCCTTGAACTTCATGACACAATAACAGCCGGTTCGTAATTTCGCGTCGAACATTTTCAAACATTGTAACATCGATATTTCTACAAATATTTGTTATTCTTAGCTGTATATACAATATTGAAGCAGGTTCAGTTTCGTACACCTTTTGCTTCAAATAGCCACATAAACAAAGTCTAAAGGTGTCAAATGTGGCGAGCGAGCTGGCCATTCTACAGGACCTCGACGGCCAATCCAATGACCGGGGAAATTGTTATGTAAATAATTCCTAACTTGTCTGGAGTAGTGTGGTGGAGCACCATCTTGCTGGAATACAATATCAGTATCGAATTCATTAGGATTCGCTTCGACGATTTCGGTGATTAGAGGGTCAATAGTATTTTCCAGCATATCCAAATACAGTTCCCCGGTTAAAGTTTGTTCGATAAATAGAGGCCCCACAATATCATTTCCCAATATCCCAGCCCAACCGTTAATTTTTTTGTGGATATTGAGTATGAGTTTCCCGGAAGACATGAGAACTGGTGTCACTCCAATAACGACAATTTTGTCTATGCACATTACCGTTGAGAAAAAATGTACTATCATCAATAAAACAAATATTCTGGATATATGTACGTAGGATGCCCTGCAATGGTTTCCGTCATAGTCTCGCAGAATTCTGTTCTTCGATCAGGGTCATTTTCATCTAGCTGATGTACCATTTGAATTTTGTATGGGTGATACTTATTCTTTTTCAAAAGTCTCCATACAGTAGAAGGACAAACCTCACATACATTCGCTATGAAGGAAATAGACTGTTGGGGATTTTCTATGATCTCACCAATTATTTGAACTTGCTTTTCTTCCGGGATGGTCGGATGACCTGGGGGATTTTTGTTGTTTACAGTACCAGTAGCTGTAAATTTAGATACAAGTTCCCTTAAATATTTTCTACAGATAGGACGATTCGGGAAATGATCATTAAAAATCCGTTCGGTCTCGTGAAAGTTACAATGGACGAGAATTGACCATTTTAGAAATAGTTCAAACAGTATCTAGCACTAAAACCGAAAACTAAATAAGAATATTTTAACTGTACAATGATGTTTGTTTTCGTACTGATGGTCTTGTCACTGCCATCAAAAAATAACAAAACAAGTTTTTATCGCTGTTGCTGTGGATACGGCAGCGAATTACAATTATTTGTAGAGATATGCATGTAAGTGGGTTTGTGTGCAAGTAATTATTAAATGTACCATCATTTTATAGGTATTGACTTTATATTCTAGAGTTATAAAGTACTCGTCAGGAGCTTCAAAATGATGAGCCACAAGACCCCCGTTTTCATATAATTATTTTTCCAAGATGGCGCCCAGCGGCCATCTTGACATTTTCATCTATCAATTCTATTCTAAAATATGCTATCCACGCATCAATTTCATTACCTCAAGTTTTAATTTTTTGAATGGATCTGTTCAAAAAACCAAAGGGGAGGGGGACATTAAAGAAAAGCACTGTATATAAATATAAATGTATCATGAAAACAATATTTTCAGATACCCGATTTTGTGAACTCAGTTATAATGGAGATATAGAAGTGGCAACATTAACAGAGATCTCTTAAACCACTTTTGACTTCATAAGTATAGATCTATAAACGTATCATGAAACTAATATTTTCAGATATCCGATTTTGTGAAATCTTATAGTAGGCACTTTATATGAAAGACTATGTAAATCTATGGTCAGTATTGCCAAAGTGTCAGCCTTACCATATAGTAATGTTATCACCGGGTTTGCATGTATCAACCAAGTCGTCTTCCAAAGTGACCCAAATTGTATCTGGTATACTTCCAACGCCCAACCTTTTTACATCCTCCTGTATTTTGATCTCTTGATAGTCTTTGCAGTTTTCGTTATCAAGTTCACCAAAATTTAAAAAACTTGAATTGAAACAGCTAGGACATTTTTTTGGTTCTTTGATTATATAGTTTTTATCATACTCTGCTTGTACCAACATGGATGTTTTACACTTCACACATATATAATTACGTTGATATTCTAATAGTTTAGCGGCAGTCACTCTCATCACTGTACCTAAAACAATTTACGCAAAGATATAGATGGTTGTAAATAATGTGTGAATGAAGCACTGCTTCTAAATAAAAGCTTAAAAGCTATCCTGCCATACTTAGTTTAAAGTTTATTTACAGTCTTAAATATTGAAATACATTTCTTTATGATTATAATTGCAGAATTATATCATTGATCACGTTATTTAATAAAACTAGTCATTTTTTCACTTTGTGAAATATTTTATATTATGCAATTACATTTCCTAGGCATAAAAGCAGTAAATCAATACATAAATGTAAAAAAGCAGTAGTTTTCAAACTATAATGATTTTATTCCCTGTATGATACAAGTACTGTCTTTTTATACTTTATAACCTATTATGATGTTTACTAATTCAGTTTTCTCTTTATGAAATAATTCTGTTATTTATGAATAAGTATTTATCGTTATGAATAATTACTTTTGCTAGGAAAGAATTTTGAAAAATATTTTTCGTTTAACTTAACATATATTGTTTTTAGTTTATTTATATAATTATTTTTGTTGCATGTAATTACCAAATACAATTATATAATTATTCAATTGAATTATTAGATGTTGAAAATATTTACTTTTGTGCTCTTTACATCTAAATATTTTGAAATATTCGTATTCTAGAAAAAAGTTTAAACATAAGTTTCGAGGGGGCAAAATCATAGTGGCCTTTACAACAATGGCATGGACTAAGACCTTTAAGGTACTTTCAAGGTCAAGTGAATATGTTTAAGTGAAACCTATCCTTTTTCACATAGGAATTGAAAAAATTTTACGCCAGAGAGCTTTACCTTGGCCATTGGCTTCAAGGTCAATAAGACACTAAGACAATAATAGACACTAAAAACAGTTTGCTCTATCAAAAATGTTTGACATCAGTTTTGAAGTTCGTGGGGATCACCCAAAGGTCACCATGACCTTGACCAACATTTCCAAAGGAAACATCTCATTTTTATACTGGAAATGGAAAACGGGAAATTTCACGTCCAAATGTGACCTTGACCTCAACTAATATTTAAATTTGACACGACCTTGTCTTTAAGTTCAAGGTCATATTCTGATGTAAAAGTTCCTGTCTTTTAAATTTCCAGTATAAAAATGAGAGGTTTCTTTTGGAAATCTTGATTAGACTTTGGAGATCATGGTCAAGGTCACCATTAAATGATCCCCACAAACCTTACCACTGTGATGTCGAACACTTTTGCTTGAACAGATTGTTTTCGATTTGACCTTGAAGTGGCCGTGAAGACAATGGTCAGAACAAAGTGATCCTCGGATGTAAAAAAGGGGGAGTTCTATTTAAAAAATATTCACTTGAATTTAAGATGGCGTTGAAGGTCGTAATTAGTTATTGTGAAGTACACCATTATTTTGACATCTCAAAACCCTACAACATTTGTTTGAGACTTTTTTCTGTAAATCATGTTGCCTTTTGATTTACGACAACGAAAGACGGAATGTCATTTATTTAATTTAGGCATCGACAACAATTATTATCATCCCAAATCACATTTAAATGACTCTCTATGAAGTCATGCAACTTTGCAATGTTCATAAACTTTTGTTATGTCATATTGATACTATTTATTTAGTTTGAAAAAATCTAGAATTTTGAACTCAATTTTCTCCGACTCCGATTTTTACAGTTTACTGCCTTTTACCCAAGTCCGGCAGTATAGATATTTGGATTTTAGTATATTGTACAAGGTGTCCCAAAGAACATCAATGATTTCCAATTTCAATTAGAAAAATAGTAGACATTCTAAACTCTGGGCGCTGAAGAAAGACATTAAACGTAAACAGTGATCAGAACGTGAACAGATCCCTCGAAAGCATCCACGGATATACTCCAGTCACTTTAGGTCTAAACATCCTCGGCAGTGTATTTCTAGTGAATCCACAGACCCTTTTTCGTGTCATCTTGAGACTAGAAAAAGGATGACTGTTAAAATAAGTTACCTTGATCTTTCATGAGCTCCCAGTACAAAACATCATCGATATATTTTTGATGTAGGAACAACAAATTGGTTTAGAAAACATCCACTTTGAACCTAAATTGACTGGAGTAACATCGATCTACAGACAAATTCAAGGTCACTAGCAGTCGTCGGCGCTCTACGAATCTGCACAGGTTTGGACTTGTAAACGTGATTGTAGATGACACGACAGGCATCTAACAGTTAATTCACGCACAGGATTGCATTGCATACGCATTACGCATTCAGCAGCGTATACTCGTTTTTCGCGAGTGGAACGTTTTGTTTATATATTGCCTAAGATACGATGTCTGACACAGATACAGCCGACGAAGTGGTTGACATCAGCGCAACCCCACCCAAAAAAAGGGCTAAGAAGCTACATTTAAGTGCAAATGAAAAACAAATAATATTAAATATATACAAAAACCAAATTCAAGAAAAACCCGATTTGGTCGTGGACGAAGTTATATGTAAGGGAGCACATATTTCTGGAGTATGTCGGTCCAGTGTTTATAGAATCATTAAGGAATATAGGAGCACTCACTCACTTTCTGAGCCAAAACCGTATCCTGCAAGAAAAAGGATAACGGACGGAGTAGATGACTTTGACAGAACTGCCATCAGGAGGAAAGTGCATAATTTTTTCTTCCGAAATGAGATACCTACAGTAGATAAGATATTAAGATTAGTTAATGCTGATGAGGATCTTCCATCATTTAAAAGAACCACATTCCGAAAACTTTTGAAGGAACTTAATTTTCGATTCTTGAAACGGGGAAGAAACAGTATGTTAATAGAGAAAGAAGAAATTGTTGTGTGGAGAAGGGAATACCTTAGGAAGATTCGGAAGTTTCGCGATGAAAAAAGAAAAATTTACTATTTGGACGAAACGTGGGTGAATGCTGGACATACTCAAGCGAAAGTTTGGGTCGACAAATCAGTAACATCATCAAGGCAGGCTTTTCTAGACGGTCTTTCGGCTGGATTGAAAAATCCTGCAGGTAAGCTCCTTCATCTATCCGGCAATTTAATTTTGATAAATTCGGGCAAATAATATGCTGTGATAGCAGATAATGTGTGATATTCTCCAAAAATGGTGCATTCGCAGTGTAGTCATTAGGAAAAAAACTTCGACCCTCTTTTAAGCGTTATTTTGAAATTTATTATCATTTTTGGGTGCAGTCAATTTGCTTTGAATGGGTTTTGAGAAGTTGCAAACTTCAATTTTCTACGTTTTTCAGTTTTTGATCAGCATTCCGTGACTCTTAAATTCAGCTAAATGAACTCAATTGCCTCATTCCTTCAAATTTAATCAATCCATACTGTAAGGAATAAATTATTTCCAGGTAAAGGCAAACGGCTGATCATTTGTCACGTAGGTAGTGAAGACGGCTTTGTTCCCGAAGCACTGTGGGCCTTTGAATCAAAAAAGACAGGGGACTATCATGAGGAGATGGACGGCAATTCCTTTGAAAATTGGTTCTCCAAAATGTTACTAAATCTGGAGAATAACGCTGTTATTGTACTGGATAATGCCCCGTACCATTCTAGAAAAATAGAAAAAAATTCCCACAATGGCAACTAAAAAAGCAAACATACAACAATGGCTGGCCTCAAAACAGATCGATTTTGATGAAACAATGGTCAAGGGTGAATTGATAAGTATAGTCAATAGACATAAATACAACTACGATTTTAAAATGATCGACGAAATGGCCAAAAAACAAAATAAAACTGTCTTGAGACTGCCACCCTACCATTGTGAGCTGAACCCTATTGAGCTGATTTGGGCCAACATAAAGCAATACGTGGCGTCGAATAATAATACTTATGAATTTTCTGATGTTAAAAATCTCTTTCACATCGCAGTCAGAGTTACGGCAGAGGAATGGAAAAACTGTATCCGCCACGTTCGGGAGAAGGTTGAGGTCAAAATGTGGGATTTGGACAATGTCATCGATACCCAAATTGAACCTCTAATAATTCATTTAAACGATTCAGAAGATTCAAGTTCCTCTTCTGAATGAGTGCGCGCAGCTTACTTACTAATAACTAAAAAGTGTAGTTAACTCATTTGTGAATCTCTAACTGAAATTTACTGTAAAAGATAATAATTATCTTGTATGAAATTTTTGATGACTACCCATAATATCTTGATGCGGCCCTGTAATGTCTCCTGCGCCTAAACACTCACTCACGAGCAATATGCGTGTATTTGTTTGGGTTTAGTTTCTTTCTTCAGCGCCTAGAGTATAAGGAAAATGGTTCTAGCGGAAATGAACAGATGTGCGGATTTAATTTTTTTTATGTTAAATTATATGTGGATGTCCTTCAATTTGTTGCACGTACACATGGAATTTGTTGCGATGGCATATTGTATGGCGCGCACATGCATAAGTCGTTCAAATTTGCTTACGTCACAACATATTTTTTCAAATCAGCGATATTTTTTCGAGTATCAACACCAAAACGACTGAGGAAGTTGATTCACAGTGACCCTTTTAGAGCAGCGAAATCACAACGAGTCAGTTCAGGATTGGTGTCTCCCTTAACCCTCATAGTCTGTAGTTGAGGATCAAAGTGCACTTGACATAAGTCAAGTTTTTGACACTTCTGTCATAAAATGCGTATATTTAGTATCATTTTCTGAAAGTGCGAGTGTTTGCAGATAATTGTGTTTGACTTCTTACATAATTTGCAAAGAGCGGCAAAATCCTAATTAAGGTAGATGTTTCCTCCGGTAAGTATTATTATTAGTCACTTTGGTTTGGCTTTGGTAGACAAATGAGTGAAAATTATGCGCTAAAACTTCGTAATTTTGACGACAAACAATGTAATGTCGGCTTCTTCTAATTTATTCAAATTCATTGTTGGAGTGTGATAAGTGGCTCCATCTTACTTAGACCACGTGAAATGTACGTAGTGATATCGGCCGCTGTCACCAGATTTTACATGTTGACTACTCCTAAAGGATATCCCAAGAGCAAAGTTCACGTAAATACTCTGAAG